TTTGTTTCTACAAATTTCATGAGTCAGCAACTTACCCACGTGGATTCTTGTCAAGCTCATGAAGTACCGTATGGTCACAATATTCAAAGACCAAGTGAAGCTTTCGTTTCCTCCGGAAGACCTCCAGAAGATTCACCAAATTGGGATGTTTCAGTTGCTAAAAAGCATAACACAACATTTGTGAAGCAGCTTGAGGTGAAGAAAATAAAGCTGTTACATCAACATTCACGGTCTAATTTTAAAACATACTTACCATATAAAGCAAAAAGGTCAGAGAGTCACTACTCATAATTTAATGTTTCTAATTCAGCTCCCACTTCGCCTTATGACTCACTGTGCCTCAAGTTATCTAAAAAATACTTGTCTCCTCAGTTAAACATTGTGACTACCAGTAATTCAATTCAATTCAATTCAATTCAATCTATTCTATTCATTTATTACTAATTTCTTCCCATAACCTTTTAGCGTAACCATTTGGTTCTGCTTTTCAATCAAAACAAAAATAAAATATATAATTGCCATTAATACCCAGCTGCAATTTTCTTGCCTTTTGTCTCCCCCATACTATTCTCATTCTCTCTTTATTATCTTCCCTAAACTTCACAAAGCATGAAACTTCCTCTTAAAAGTATCATAAAAAACAGATGGTTGATCATAAATAAAATCCTACATTTTGATTGAATACTTGCATTTTAATTTTATTGACATGCAACATGCAATATAATCTGAATGACAAGATGGACCCCTATCTTGTCTTTGTTTAAGTGAGCCAGGAAGAGCTTTTGCTCATATCTCGTTTTTAAATGAATCTTGAAGGATCTGCCTCTTCCCCCATGTCTTGGATTAGAGAGTACGGTGGGGTCCTTTGGGATCAAGGCTGAGGATTACAATTTTCCTGTTCTTCTCTTCTTAGAAATTTATCTTTTCTTTTGCTGGTTATGATTATTTTCAATTGCTTTTAGTAGCGTACACAACATTATGAAGTTGGCCAGCTTTAGAGATTTGACAAATATGTTTAACAAATGAGTTGATGGAAGCAGTATGAGGTCACGGGCTGCTTATATCTGTTTCAGAGGTCATACTAACTCAGCACAGAGTGATTTAACAACAACCCAACAAAATAGCAGCCAAAAGGTGATTTCAGTTTTTTAAAATACCCAGATATCACCATGGGGTCTCCTGGCCTCAGTGTTTATAAGAATGTATAAAAAGTTGTGCTGAATTGGATGAAAGGCCTATATGGCAGCACCATGTTTCCCACAGAAGGAAACTCACAAGCAAGACACGTCTCCTAGCAACTAAGATCCAGATGCACCCTGCGCCTCTGACACAAAAGTTAATATAACCACCAGTAGCCTTTTTCCCCATTGAAAGCCTTATATTTATATATTTCAAACTCAACCCTAAAGGCAGACAAGGTAAATGGCACTGCCCATTTAATCTCTTAAATCTGAATGGCTATGGCATTGTTCAAGCCTTTGTTCTTTCTTTGTTTATACAACACAGAAAAATGATGGATTAAGAATCCTGTCTCCCCACACCCGCTGGATTAGATCTCAACCCATACTGTTCTCCAATTAGCAAACAAACAATCTGTTACTATTGACTGAGAAAGTGTTTTTCTGAACTGGTGGCAGAGCAGGCCCGCACTTGTTCAATCAACACAATTCAGCACACAGATTCATTGGCAAAGAATGGTGAAAATTGTTGAGATACTCTGCTTCCCTGTCTCTCTTTCTTGGTTCCTTCAAGAGCCATTTATTACCTGTTTTCCTGACATAAGCTGCTGCCCCCACTATTGAATTTCTTCCTGGGCTTTAGAAATCCCCATTAATCTTTCCACAATAGCTTATCAGACTTCTGAATCTCTTCAGATAGCTAGGGTAGATTTGAATGCTACTATGGATTTAAAGTATGCACAAGGAGAAGTAAGCAACTTGATATCCTCATTGGCTTTGTGGTACAACATTAACTTGTGCCAGCAACGTAATCAAAGTTTAGGAATTGAGGAATTGTAATGCAAAATGTCCACAGGACCCATGGTTACCTCCTCTGGGCCTAAAAGCTTAGGGCACTATTATCTGAATGGAGAGTTAGAACTGGGTGTTATCCCTCAGAATTGATCAGAAGACATTTTTTTTCACATAAGGCTCATTTTATTTCAAGAGTGCATTATTAATAAAATGGATGGGTGGTTATTTTTAAAAAGATGAAATACACTTATGGGGGAGGTGGACTATCAACTGGCCAAGTATTGACATTCAGACCATCCAACCCAATTTTTACATGAGCAGACAGAGTTCCTTCATATATAGTGAGCAGGATTTGTTTGTCCTTTGCTTTTCCCACTACGAAAGGCAAGAAGAAGTGAGTGAAATCTCAAGAAACTTCACTTCAAGTCATTAGAAATACCTTCTCCCAGTCAGGAAAGGTGAAAACTAAAGAAAATAGGGAGGAAAAAAATCCAATAAAGGACATCAAGGCATTTCCAAACTACCTCTGTTTAAAGCAGGCTTGCAATCATCTGACTCTCTGCTGAAAACACGGAGAACACATAGAGATTGCCATTATTTACTTTCCTATTTATTAGATTTACATTTTGCTTCTCCTGTTCAGTATCACTGAGTATATAACACATCTTTCTCCAATTGTATCTTCACAGCAACTATGTTCTTATCCAAAATCATTCAGTGCAATTTCCTGGCTTAGGGTGAATAAACCGAGTTTCCAAATTTACTTGTTATTTAAATATATATAGCTGCCAATTCAACACACAATGCTGGATGGCTAATAAACAGTAGCATAACCAACAAACAACACTGGATGGCTAATAAATAGTAGAATAACCAATAATAATTTAGAAAAATTGAAAGCAATTGAAATACCCCAATGTCCCTGAATTCAACACATATACTAACAGAACACCAGAACGAGCTCACTCTACGTCCTGGTTTAAGGTTTAGAGTTGCAACCATCTTTTCAGCTTAGTGAAATGCTTATAAAGTCAAGCCCATTTGAGTCTCTTCAATATTAATCCAATAATACTTTCTCAACATATATCTGCTATTTCCTTTAACTTTTCCATATTGCTGGATGATTATGCAGGGGACAAACTTTTGACTGATAAACACCATTTTCTATTCCCTTGCTCCACCTGGAAGACAAATGGCCAGATGTGGAACTAAAGCTAGGACATCATGGTTCTTTTAAGGGACTTATTTTGGAAAACAGTTAGTCAACGCCACTTCAGTTTTAAATTTGTAAACAATTTGATGTGGTTTACGAACTGCAAACCAATTTAATATTGACTGCAAAATTACTGAACCATGTCTCATCTGAATTTATTCAACTATTTTTAAATATTATTTTGGCTTTTAAGAAAAAAAAGATACTTCCCTTTATTTTCAGGAAGACTTCCATTCACCACATATAGCCCAGAGGCAAATAAATGAAATAAGAGCAGACTACCACCAAATGCTGTTTTTGGAAGTACTATATATCTATCAAGAAAAGAAAGGCAAAAATACATTGAGATGGACCTGATAATCAGATATACAGAGCCAAGATAGATGCTAACTGGCTCAGCGGCTGTACTTGTGAAAAGGATCTGGGTGTCCTGATAGACCACAGATTAAGCATGAGACAGTTGTATACTACAGCTATTAAAAGAACCAATGCAATCTTGGGCTGCATCAACAGAAATACACAAGGTTGAGATCTGGAAAAGTAATTATTGCACTCAATATTCCATATGTGGGATATAGCATGTGGAATGCTGTATTCAGTATTGGTCACTGCACTTCAAAAGGGTATAGTGGATCTAGAAGAGGACAACCAAGATAATCAAAGGGCTGGAGCAGCTACAATGAAAGATTGTAACATTTGGGGTGTTTTAGTCTAGAAAAGAGGCAAATAAGGGAACATAATTGAGGTTTACACATGGTTAAAAGAACTGGGAATGTTTAGCCCAAGGAAGAGAAGGCTGGATGCGGGATGGACATAGTAATTGTCTTCCAATATACTGCAGGAGAAAAGAGCATGGATTTACTCTCTATAGTGTCTGTAGTGAGTAGGACCCTGGGAGAGAAGCTTTATAGAAAAATATCCAAATTCAACATTAGGAGGAATTTTCTGACTGTGGGTTATGAAGCTATGGAAGAAACAGCTTCCTGAACTTGTAGGCACTCCAACAGTGGAGGTTTCAAGCAAATGTTCAGCCAACTATTTGTCTGCACTAGAAGACCTTCAAGCCCCCTTCCAATCCAATGATTCAATAATCCTGAAAGGTGATGGTAGTGCAATGTTAGAGTTACTTGCTCCTAAATCAGTATTTGGTAGTTGGTCTTTCCTACAACAACAGTATTTTATAAGTGTGCCTGAAATACATTCTCAAAATTCTAAATATATTCTAAATTAGGCACCGGCCTAAAAGATTGTGTGATTAGCTCTAGAGCTGTGATAGTTGAACCTATGGCCTGCATGCTAGAGGTGGCATGCAGAACCCTCTTTCAGGGCATGCAAGCCATCGCCCCAGCTCAGCTCTGCCATGCATGCACACGCCTCCTCCCGGCCAGCTGGTCTTTGGGTCTCTGCTGCACATGCATGGAGGGGCGCATGCACGGAGATGCACGTGCATGTGGGGGAGCACGTGCACAAGGATGCACATTGTATTTTGGTGATGCGTGCACTTTGGGCACTCAGTGCTGAAAAGGTTAGCCATCACTGCTTTAGAGCAACCTTTGTCAAGCCAGAGCCCTGAAGCTGTGGCAGACTACAGCTTCCACCATTCTCAACTAATATAATCATTATAGTCTTAATATACATATATCAAATGACTCAGTCTGGCACAACTGGTGTAAAATAATTTACATTGTGTAAAGTAATGCACGGACAATTCTTTTCAGCTCGGAAGGGTGATTCATGTCCATTAATTCCTAGAAACTCTAACTTATTATTTTGTGCAAATGCTAACTAGAAAAAAGGTCCTTCACAAGTTCCTATAAGAAATATTAGTTTTCATTTAAAAAAATTCTTCCCCTTCCTTGTTCCAGAAATAGAGTTTAAATAATCAGGAAAATGGCTGGTGAGATAGCACAATGCAAAGAAGCCAGAGGTAACAAAGAAAGACAACAACAGGCAATCCATAAGCTATATCTATATGAACTGCGCCAGCAAAAGTCAGTGATAAATTGCTGGAGAACAGAGGAGACATTGCCCACTATCTATTGGAAAAAACAAAAATATGCATCCAACTATCAGAAGGAAACTACCACAGAAATTGAGTCCCTGCCATTTTTACAGTGCCTTGTTTCTTGTATATCCTTTCTGTGCTAAAAATAATTCGAGCTACGATACCAATGATTATAGTAATTGATACTAATGGTGGACAGTTAAAAGTTTTCTATTATATGCTTTTTTACTGTAATCATTTATATTTAGTGCTTTAAGTTGTATTTGTTGCCCAGAGTTGTCGTTGTAAAATGGGTGGCCATATAAATTGAATAAACCAACATATAAACATAAATAATGTTAATATTAGGAGCAGCAGGAGGATTGAACTGTGGTCCATTGGTACTAAAGTTTGGCAACAAATGACATATAACCAGCACAATAAATACAAAACGAAGACTTCAATCAATTGTCCACAATGATTTACAACAACTACAAAATGCAGTTTTTCTCCTCTTACAGAATTTGAGTTATCTTGACATGCTGTTTTGCTTCATTTGGAATGGAATATATTTGGGCCCAGTATCAGGAGGACATTATGTAAGAAGCTTTTCTTAAAAAATATTCCCTGGCTCTCATATCATCAGAAAATCTTTCAAGAGAGACAAACGGACAAGTGTTTAATTACATCAAAAGACAAAAACTCTCTCTCTAAGATAATTAGGCTGTGAACCACTCAGAGACAAATTCATTTGAAACTGATCTGAACCTATGAGAGAGTATATGAGGTAAAAATTTTACATGAATTGATTTAGGAGGACCCAATCTAAGTACCACAAGAAGCTTGAAAGAAAAGAATAAAACTACTTTCTACTATCCTAATCACAATTAATCATGTCTACATTAGAGATTTATCAATCTTCTTATAAGATTAAAAGTCTTCAAAGAATGGAATAGAACAATGAAAATCACTATTGTTAAAATATGTTCATTGTAAATATGCAATTCACATGTGATATTTAAAGAGGAAATAAATAATCTTATTTATATCCATTCTTTCCACTGCTTCTCATAGCTTTTTATCATAGCTATCTATCATCAAATGCACAGTCCATGTACTTTATGTATAGTTAATGATCCGTGAAATACATTTGAAAGATAAGTTTCCAAAAGCTGGACTACTCTTAGGCAGGCATCCAACAGTATATTTGGGATAAAAAGCATGGTGATGCTCAGATAAAATGGGCCATTGGATTAGTTACAAGGAAGAAAAACAATAAAAATACAGCTTTAATCAAATAAGTTTCTGATAAGCAGATTCCAGTTCATTACCTTTAACATCCGAATCTCTCGAAGTGCAATTTTTTTAATAACAGGATCATCCTCAGATTCCAGGAACTTTTTGATAGCAACAATTTGCCCTGTGTCTTTGTTCCGGCATTTGAAAACAACCCCATAGGAGCCTTCCCCAATCTTACTAATTTTTTCATATTTCTCCATTGCTAATAGAAAAGAATCTCTGAATATGTTATCCACTGTAAGCGAGACCTGGTGAGTAAGATGTTCTCTTGAGGATCTGAATGATTCAAAAGTTGCAAAAGGCCACAATCATCTTAAATCTGTAAGACAAATGTAAAAATGTGATTGCAGCCACACTTAGCATCTATGGAATCCATGGAACATAACCATACCATACTGATTCTTTAATGGACCAGCAATCTGAGCCTATATTTACTTTGTTTCAAATAATGCACTAGTCTTTAATACCCCCCCCCCCTTCCAGATACCCCAACAGGTGGTGAGAAGAGATTGGAGTTTTTACAAAATAAGACCTCTTTTTAAGTGGCTTCATTACTATTGCTTGAAATACTTTGCTATTTACCCTCCAGCACTGGGCAAGCTCCCAAAACCCTTGCTATAAAAAGTTAAATGGAACTTAATGAAGTTTTATTCCACCAGTTCCACTGAAATGAACTGGAATGATTGAAATCACAGTGTGGTTTGTTGTGGAAAAGTTTTTATTTAACAAGGCAGTGCCCACACTTCATTTGACTTCTAAAACCAGCAAACATACTATGAATTAATGTGATGTATAAACTGACCCTTCACCTTTATTTTTTCACTCAGCTAATTAGTCATTGACTTGATAGGAGCTGTTGAATCTTGGATGACCTTGAAAAAAATGAAGTAGGTCTTGGCCTGCAGAAAAGCCCAGGGAAGCAAGCTACACTGGGAAACTGAAGAAACCACCCAGGAGAAGTCAGTGGCAAACTATTTCTGTAGATGTTGCAGAGGACCTGGAGATATTAATGTAGACCTCATGGGCCAAATACGATTTGAGGAAGCCTTTACTTTTCTGTTAATTAGATTTATCTCTACAGTACTTGCAATCTCACATAGTATCTGATAAATTTGGGACCTGGATATCTTTGGGATCTGGATACCTCCTTTTGCAAGTGTCCATCAACTACAAAAGATCTACAAAAGATGTCTTCTTGAAGTTGCTCAATTCATAATACAATGACCTGAACTAAGGCATTTCCAGGATAAAAACATCCATTGCAAAATCTGTTCCGGTTTAGTTAATAGTTGAAACTGAACTTTTTAAAAAGATGCTCATTTTCAGACTTTCAGTTAAATTGGAACCACAGTAATTTTCTGTTCCATATTTAATAGTGATTAAAAGTTATTTACATTTATTTTTTTAAGATGATGATACTTTAATTGTTTGCAATGATTTATAATCCATTTTGAGATTCTTTTTAATAATAAAAATGGTGGGGTAGAAATGTAAGGATAAATGTCAGGATAAAGCTTCCTAGATCCGCCAAAAACATATCAAATACAGGTAGTCCTCGATTTACAACCCTTTCATTTAGTGACTATCTGAAGTTACAATGGTGCTGAAAAAAGTGACTTACAACCAGTCCTTCCACTTACAACTGATACAGCAGGTTCAAAATGTGGGCACTTGGCAACTGGTATGTATTTATATTGGTTGCAGTGTCCCGGGGTCCCATGTTCACCATTGGTGACTTTCCTAATCGGCTTGCAAGAAGCAAAATCAATAAGGAAGCCAGATTCACTTAACTGTGTATTCATTTAACAACTGTGGCAATTCACTTAATGACTACAGCAACAAGGTTATAAAATTGAGCCTGACTCACTTAGCAGCTGCCCCACTTAGCTGCAGAAATTTCAGCTGCGGTCGTAAGTCAAGAAGTAGCCGTAGCCATGGGAAAGTCAAGACTATCTTTCTTAACACCATACTTTTCTGTTTGTAATTCCTGCAATCTTTGGCTCAATTTGTTCTTTCACACTGTCAGAACTCCTGGAACTTCTGCTCAGCCCCTTTCTTTCCCCTTAATCACATTTCACCTCAAAAGCCAGGGTTCTTCAGCTTTTTTTTTTTAAAAATCTATTGCTTAGCCTTTTGTATTTCTATCACAGCAGCCACATAAGGCTATCTGATTCTATTTATGCATACTCTCCCCTTCCTACTTCCCCATGTTCTCTTTACCTCCACTCCTCTATTCAGATCTGATCATTTCTGCATTCAGTCGAATTTAGACTTTAAGCTCCTTAGAACAAAAAAGTTATCTTCAAGTTTATGTGTTCTTTAAGGCTTCTGGGTCTCCAACGTGATGCCTGAGGCTCTCAGGTGCTCCTGGAGGCCTGCCAGGCTCCCTGCCCTACCGAACAATTTTTATTATGAAGACTTTTAACTCAAGCAGACAGGTGAGCATGTTGCAAAGTAAAGCACAAGCCCAGTGATTTCTTCCTTTACTAATGTATCTCTGGGCCCCACAGAGACACTTTTAGAAAATGAAAATGGTTGGGGGCTGCAGGCTACTATTTGCATGACTATCCCCCACCCCATCCCCAGGACAAAGATATGGTGAAGGGGGATCTTTCTGAAGGATAAGAGCGGGTGAGTGGGACCAAGTTCCTTAGCTTCCTCCATGGCAAATTGACATTTTGTGATGATTTGGACACCACTGTGGTACTGCCAGCATGCAACCCTAACAACAAGTTGTATGAATGCCCTATACTGAAAGGGCCCCCTTGTCTTAAAAAAAAAAAGGAGCAAAATCTACACAGTGTAATATCTGCACAGTGGTCGCATTACTCTGTGAATTTAGAAACACGGAGAAAAAAGGAGGGCAAGGATTGTAAGGCGCTCTCTGCACCAAAGTGATGGATACTAGCGCCTCTAGTGCAATCTGAAACCCGGTTGCTGGAAGGCTCCAGTGGCCTCTGCGTCTTCAGACCACTTTCCCCATGCAAAAGGCCCATCTGTAAATTAAATTTTAATTCAGCACCTTTAAGCAAAGGCAGGTTGCCAGTGAGGTGCAGCCAACTGGGCAAGCCCATCAGCAGCAAAACACACACCTGCCTCTCTGCCTAAGGAAGGAAGGGACAGGAGGAAAGGTAAGGGACAAGGCCCAGCTTTGGCTTCCCACTTCCTTGTCTCGCCTGCCTGCAAAACTCCCGAGAACAATGGTGCCAGCAGGTGTGTGAGAAGGGCACAGCAGGGATGGTCGCAGAGAGGGTCCTAAAGAGGACTTGGGGATGTCCCCCTCCACCCTCACCAGACCAATAGCCTCGTGGCAGTGTTTCCCTCGGGCCTGCAAGCAGCCCCTTTGGGATAAAAGGAGAAACGACAGGTTCCAGAACAGTCAGGACCTACTGACAGGAATTGGGGGCGGTGGGGGGCGCAGCTGCAGAGGTGAATGTTGCTGTCTCAGAGGCAATTCATACGTTTTTTTTTTTCACAGCAGGAAGAAGCCCACTTGAGAGACCAAGTACGTCCCCTCCTTCCCCCACCCTCCTTAAAGTGCCCTCCTCGCATCCTCAGACGAACCTTCCCTTCCATTAGCCATGCAAGCCTGCAGGACTTATTTAATTCTCCACAGAAAAGCGCGCGTTCCCCTCAACTCGCAGCCAGAAGGAACTCCGCCGTCGCGCAGCTCTGCTCGACCAAAGCGCACTTTGTCTGTGCTCAGAGACCGTTGCCCTGCGCCGGCCGGGAGCGATAGGACTCCCACTCCAGCAGTTCTCACCCTCGTTGCGAGACTTCGCTTTCATTCCGGCCGGCCAACCGACTGGCGATGGCTCCCGGCACCTGCTGCCTGCTTCTCTCGCCTGCTGCGCGGGCGGGCAAATGTGGCCGCAGACGCAACACCTTCATGCGCCACTCTGGGCCGTCGGCCGCAGACGCTGAACTGCCTGCCAGTCGGGCGAGAGGGGGGCGGGGGGCAAGGCGGTGAGGGGAGGCGACCGTGTCTCGCCACTGCCCGCCTCCTGGAGGTGGACCATGGGCAGGAGGAGGCCGCAGGCGACAACCCACCTATCCGAACAGCAAGCTGGACGGTCTGTCGTGGGTCCGTCTGTCAGGAGAGAGGACAACGCAGAAGGGCGGCATTGCTTCGTGGAGGCGCTTACAGGTCCACGCAGGAACAGGGATTTGCTCCATTTCGAAGCCTGTAACGTCGGATAACATTTTGCTGCGGAGTGACGCATTTTCTCCCTTTTCTAGTAAAACGTGCTGAACTTTTTCTCTTTGTTATCCAGAGAAGGCCAAAATACTGTGTGGTTAAAAAAAAAATGCATTCATTTGCGTTCCTTCCACTGCAAACTACTTGGTCTCAAACTTAAAAGATACTCCACTGCGCAAACACGATCGCAGTGAGTTCACAAGCCTCCCCGCGGTTAATGTATTTTCTTTGTCCGCTTTCGCACACATCCATCAACTAACCACAGGGATGAAATCACACAATATAGTTGACTAAACTAGGATAAGGTAGTCTGTGGTTTTAGGTGTCTTGAAAACCTAATGGAAAACAAAGTGAGATTAGCTTCAAACCTATTAATAAAGAGCTTTGCTGTGGAAGACATGAGTAAAATTGACTTACCACCCACTTACCAAGAAACAAGCCAACCATGACTTAACCTAGCTTCCAGTGTGAATCCAGCCCATGTAATTTATCAGCCAGTGCCATGTGAACCCAGAAAATTAGGTTGGGTAAACCACGAAACTGCTAAGTCTTGCTTGCATTGTGTTAAATAATAGCATGCATGAAATGTTTGAATCCCAGCTAAGGACAAGTCTGGAACTTCCAGAAAATTTCCTGAATAGGACTTTGAACATCAATGGCTGGGTTTGCCCATTTTAATCTTGCTTTAAACAGGAATAGGTAACTTGTGGTTCATCTTACTGAATCATTAGGCTATTATAGTCAGCCATAATAGAATGTGTTTTATTTGGGCACACCTATGTTTCTTAACACTTAACAGTTTTTAAATTATTTATATAGACTTTATTATTTTATAAATAATTCAAGGCAGCAAATATACCTAATACTCCATTCTCCTATTTCCCCACAACCACCATTCTGTAAGGTGGATTGACCTGAGAAAGTAACTGACTTCTGTGAACCCAGAAATCAGCAATGCAAATTCTTTATGGAGAGGATACTTGACCATTTTACTGGGTACTTTCTACTGTCCTTTTAAAGACCTCATTTGGCAGCCTAGAATCTTCTTGTTTCAAATATATCTCCAAAGCCAAGTTTTAATATTCCAATTTTCCTGGTTGCCCAATTTCACAATGACTCTGGGCAGCTGAGATAAAGAGAGGCTAATTTATTAAAATGTTACCGTATCAATGAAAAGCCATGATGAAATCACATCGTAACATTCTTGTGCAAATGTTGTCATCTGTGTTGGTTGTGTGGTGACGTCATGTCCCCTCTAACCCCTTTATGCCCATGAAAACAATGCAAGTATTTGGAGCAATGCTGATACTTCTGGGAAATTAGCTGAACTACTGATCAACATGGTTACCATTGATCCATCTAGTTTTAAAATCAGTCTTGGTAAAAATAGCAGCTCCAATTTCAGTTCTGTTGAGGACCTTTCAAATATTAATTGAAAGTAACCCCACCCCCTTTACAACTTGCCTTCTCTCCAGAGATCATTTGTTACTCCTCATAAAGCTGCTGTTACCCCTTTATAAATCTAACTCTTGCTGCAAGCCCTGTTTACATTTGAGAGGTCCTTGGTGCTCTCTGAACTTGTTTTCTTGCAGGCTCATAACCAAACTAGGTAACACCATCAGTGCTAGTAAGGAGTTGGATTTGCTCTGTTTATATTCTAGTCTTAGGGGATGGTCTTAGTTCGATTGGACTGTTTATTGCTTGTTTGGCAGTTCCTTGATTGGGGGTATTATTTGCTTGATTGTTGATCTGCTGTTAATCTTGGAGTTAATCTATGCTCATCTGGTGCCGATTGTTGGTGGGGAGGTGTCCGGTCATTTTGTTCCCTTTTGAGTTTGTAGATTGTCTCTTTTGCATCGAATATAGACATTGTTTATGTCTATGTATCTATTCATAGCGAATATGTTAGAGTGCCGGGCTTCTAGAAATTCCTTAGCGTTTTTGGACTTGGCTTGGTCTAAGATGGTCGGTTTCCCAATTGAAACTGTGGTTAAGCCCGTCCATATGTTGTGAAATTATGTCTTCCAACCAGTAGTTGGTGCTCAAGGATGTGCTCTGCCAGTCTTCTGTCTGTATGTCCTATGTAATGGCTATTGCAATCCATGATGCATTCAATCATCCCTTATACTTTCTAGAGCAGTGGTGGCTAACCTTTTTGCGCTCCTGCCAAAAATTGTGCACGCACTTGCACGCTCGCACTTGCATGCCAGTACCCAGAAAGCAATGCACTCCCCCACGCCCCCTACGCATGTGTGCGTAATCCCCACCCGCCCATCCCTGCCACCCCTTACGTGCACTGCGCCTCACAGCTGATTTTCGGTCAGTTTGAGGCCTTTTTCGGCCTCCCAAAGGCTTGAGGAAGGCATCAAACCAGCTGCGAGGCGTGCACATGCCCAGTGAGGTAGGTTTGCCTGCCGCTCGTGTGCCGGCACAAATGGCTCTGCGTGCCACCTGTGGCACATGTGCCATAGGTTCGCCATCACGGTTCTAGAGTGCACAATTAGTTACAAAGTAGAATAGAAATGTCTCTTGCCAATTTCAATATGATAGTATAGAACAACCCATCTGAATCCCATTCTCCCTTCTGACGGTTCAGGAAGCATATATGATTTTATGCTTACAAAGCTAAAGAATATTAAAGATTGAAAGAGCCTGGCCTGAGATTAGATTCCGGAGATTCTCAACAAAGCAGATTCAAACATAAGCCAATACATGCAACTCATCCTGTTACAGACTGGATCTCCTGGGCTCTTCCTGAAATGCAAATTCAGACCATATTGTATCCAAACTTGAGAATTTTATCTATGTGGAAAGACATGGACACCCCACCCCCTTAATAAGAGTAGAGATGCTTCTGAGTGAAATTCAGTATCACCTGCTATCATTCAGATAGAAAATGTGCCTGAGCTAACTTGTACCCACAAGATGGATACTGTTTCAAACTGTGAGGGCTCTGCTAGTTGGGAAACAAACTGCATTTCAATCTGTTTTGTGATATAAACAAAAGGATTTTTTTCTTAGGAGGAAAAATGGGAAACTTGTTAAACTAACTGTCCGTCAAACTCTTTCATGTGCACAAATCCAATGTTTGTCCCTTTAATAAAAACAGATGTAGTTTAATGGGCATATTTTTTTTAATTGGGAAAACAAAAAAGGAAACAACATGGACGACAGCCTTGAACAAAGGATAATGGAGAAAATAAGATTTCCCAAGATTTATTAGACAATACTGCTTCTTATATATATATTTATACCATACCACCAAGAAATAAACCTACCACTCAAATGTGCCCAAGTTGAAAGAAATATTTCATTTTTCCTAGGCACTGCATTTTATCCAACTTCATTCTGGCATAGTATAAATAAAATATGTGTCCATGAACAAATTAAAGCATTTAAAAACTCCTTGAAACATGCAGGGGCATCGTGTTTAGGAAGGTTTATCCAGTCCAGGCCATTCTGAATCTCTAGTTTGACATTGGGGCCCATTAGGAGGGTTGCTGTGGGAAAAAGCTGTTATCTTTTTCCAATAAGACACACTTTGGGGACAAAGCACAGGCACCCCTCACAAATGGCTAGTCAACATCTAGAGCTACTCCAGGACTCTGTTAACCATTGGTGACCAGGACAAACTTGTGTCACATTTTGACTGCTGAGTCAGGAGCACAAACGCTTGTAGATCTGGATAAACCTCTGTTCCTCCAATACACTTATGAGAACTGACATATGGAATGTGGCTTCCCTCTTCAGGTTCACACTCGCATACACGCAAATGTACTGCATAACTCACCTATATCTATTTTATACTTCTTGTCCATTTTCCGGACTGTTATTGATCCTCTCTAATACTTACCTTGCATTTCATACATAATTTCAGTCAATACCAAATGATCTTTAATGACCAACTCTAGAAGGCAAACCCATATGAAATATTCTTCTACAAAACAGATTTTATATATCGAAAAAGGCTTGGTTTAAATTTTAAAATCCTCTCTATATAAACACCTCCCTTCAACAATGTCCTATATCTAAGAAAAGGTCAAGAATGCTGTTTTTTTTTTTTTACAATTGTTAAAAAAAACACATCCCAAAACAAACCACCCACCCACCCACAACCAAAAGCTGCGCTGCAACCTTCGTGTGCTGGAAGTTAAAATGCATCACATCACCCTAGCAGCAGATTAATAAATAAAGATTAAATAGTGTTTCTTTACAAATCCATAGAGAACAGCTGCGTTAAAAAATAAGGACACAAAAAACAACTTCCTGGGAACCTCTGCTGAGCATTCCCTGACACGGGGATGTTTTGGTGGCATGGGAGAAAACCCACAAAGGCCTCACAGAGGAGAAATTCATGTCCACTGCCTCCTGCCCCACAGGCCTCCCCCCTTTCCTTATTTTGCTGTTGACTTCAACTCCCAGTATCCAAAAAGTAGGCATTGTCAGATGATGATGAAATCAGCAGCCCAAGCCATGAACCCGAGCATGAAGAAATCCTGTCCCAAATCATTTTGACTGCATTTTGAGATTTTCCAACATCCATGCTTCTGTAGGCCTAACAAACAGAAGGGACTGATGATCTCACAGCTTTTATTAAGCCAACAACATAACCAACCACACAGTGGCAAGGGAGAGAACAGCTGCTTCCCAGCTGCATGACACGTGCGACGTTTGGCTCTTGATCCTAAAAACAGGGTCCATTCAGACATCAATTGGAGAACGTGAAGGCAGAGGCAGAAGAGGAGAGGAAAAGGCGCCACATAATATGTCTTGAACAGGAGATCCATAAAGAGCGGCTTCCTTAGGCAACATATTGCTGGCTCACAGTTCCAAGTCGATTCACGGTTGCTTAGTAACTGTTCTCGTGGCCTGCCAAAATGTAGAGATTGCTGTGTGCTGTTGGATTATCAGTCGGCCTGCTTTCCAGCACCACCACCCTATGGGGCAAGCACAGAATAGGTAAGACAGCAGTTGCTGCAGACATCCTGGATGCTGTTCCTTGAGCATTTGATACTGGGATACTTCTAACCTTTCCATCCATCTTGGCACCTGTGTTTTTCTTACACAATCATGCATGCACAGTAGATATGAAGATATGATGCAGAAATGTTCCTTTAAGATGGAGCTGGGCATTTTACAGCCTGCAAGCTACAATGGCCCTTTGGTTGTCCCTGTCTGGCTCATGAGAGGTTAACTGGAAATTAAATAGGGCTTTACCACCAGAAGTACCAACAAGAGAGAAGTTAATTGCCTTGGTGAACCCGGTAGGCCGGCCCCTTTTCCTATATTTTATATAGCTATACATTTATTTGGGTGAGTGGATGTGGTTTTGGGCTCTCTATGCAAATGTAAAATGTAAAGGAAACAAAAAGGAAAACTTAAAAATCTTACTGCAGGAAGGTTAATATAATTTAGCAGACAGTGAAATCTGTTCGGATGAAATTCAGGACTAGAATTTTAAGAGTTTCAAGTTATACCTTATTCAAAAAGAAATGGACAGACTGAAGGTGAGGAGAGGAGCATTATATGTGAAGCAAGAACATGTATTAATGGAGAACCAGGACTTTAAGTATGAGGGTACTGGGTATGAATATAAGGAAAGGGGAAAAGGCAAAGATATTGTTGTGAGGGTATGCTATAGACAAGCCAGGAGAAGATATGGACCATGCCTTCCTGGACCAGATTACAAAACTTTCATGGAAGAGAGGCACAGTAATGAGAGATTTCAACGTTAGGGTCCTTGGTGCTCTCTGACCCCGATTGTTTTCTTGTGGGTATTTCAAACTAGGTGACATCACCAGTGCTGTGGTAATGAAACATCTGCAAGAAAATCAAGCTCAAGAGAGTACCAAGAACCCCACAGTTCAATTCTGAGGTACACGTATTCTCTTCTATCAGGCTTCAACTGTTGGAAAACCATCTTAGCCAAAATTGCAAAGTCCCCAAATTTCTTACCAGTCTTTGGGATTGCTTTACCTTTCAGGAGCTTGAACAAGGGGACTGGATCTCCTAAGTCTGACCCTAACTAACAAGGAAGGACTTAACTGAAAAAGTAAATATACTGGAGATCTTGTGAAAATGTGATCACACTACCTTAGGTTTCAAGATATTACTGACATGATGATAGCAGCATTGCGTAGCTTTTAATTCAGGAGTACCAAATTCAGTGAACTTAGGAAAAAAAAAAATTAGATAGAAATAATCAAACGAAGGGGCAAAAAAAATTATACAATCTGAAGAGTGCTTTATGTAAGATAGCCTCTGGTTTTTAAACTACTTCTACAGTGGGCGTTATCTTCTCTCCTTTCTAGCATCAGAATCTTGGAATTTTGGCTTTGGCCTTGAAACTACAGAATGTCTGCTGTGTTTGTCAGAGCTTTACCTGAAAGTTGCAAGGGCTGAGATTATGTGAAAGGTTTGTGTATCAATCAAAAGGCATGGTCCCTTGGACCTGCAGTTGCCCGGCCATCACACATTGGTATAAAAGTGGGAGAAGGCAGTGGTGGAAGAACGCACTTAAAAAGAGGACTGGGAAATAATGATTGTTTCTCTAAATGTACCACTTTCTTTTTAAAAGGAGAAAAGGCTGCAGGCTGCTCTTCTCAGCTCACCTGTCAGAGCCCAGTAAACGGAACACCCTTGTTTCATCAGAGATCTCCTGGGTAACCTGAAAAATACCAAAAACAGAACCCAATGTGAATAACTGGCAGAAGAGCATCTTTGCCCATTTGGAAAACCTAATTCAGATGACAAATGAGAATTGTTTCAAGCAGCCCATCAACTTTTAATAATATACCTACCAAGTCATTTTTACATTATGTACTAAACCCTAGTAATGCAATTCTTCCTCAGCACAGAAAAGTCACATTTGTTCATTCAGGAGGAGAGGTTTTTATATATAGTGTTGTAGATATGGAGCACAACTGGGTTCAGCAGAGGATCAATCTTTTGAGAGTTTCCATTCAATTTGGGAAGCTGCCATTCAACTAGATGGACTTCTAGCTAACTTAACTAGACCAATTTTCAGCCAGAGAAGGATCTCTCCTCTCTTTTAATGTTTTTTCAAATAGAAGTTGACAGGGATTAAATCTAGGCCCCATGACAAGAAATAGGGCATACTACTGTCGTCTTACTCCAAACTGATCAAGGAAATACGCCTATGTTTTTAATGCAATAGCAGATTCTACCAGTCTGGGACAATACAAACATTTGACATTTTAATAGCATTATACCAAATATCTCTATAATCCTGATAAAATATTGTACAATAGATCAGTAAGATTTCCATGCCATAAACTGGGAGAAATTGAAGTCAAAAGTGTACCAGTTGGTTAATAACAAAATGGCTGAGCTATGATTTGAATGTAGAACTCCTACAGTTCAACAGAACGATAAGTGCAAAGGAAGCTATATTAAATCAGGTCCATGAGATTCAGTGTTGGGTATTCCCATGTGCAGGAGGAAACAATGCCTACTTATCACTACCTATTAAGCTATTCTTTTTCTTTCGCATCATAACAGAACATACTCTGTCTTCGAGCCAATAAAATTATTCAGGTGCAGATTAGAAGCAATAAGGGGGATTATGTTGTTCAGGATTCCTTTGTCTGTGACTGGCACCTGCCTAACTGAAGGGTAAGGAGGATAGCAAAACAATGACCAACAACACTCTTGCCCAAACTTACTTCATCAGACTTAAAACTTTTGCCTTGCATCCCATGTTTCCAGAAGGCCAACACGCTGTCCTGGAGGCACACTGCAAGAAGAGACACAATGTAAGACTGACTGATTAGGAATGTTTGGGGATGAGCTTTCTGAGCAAAGGGAAGCAAGTCCCTTTTATTAGCCAGACTTCATTGTGTTCCTACCATACGTGAGGAACCCAAATGAAAGGTAGAAGTATGGAAACAGATCTGTGGAATGAGTGAATCTTGGGTAACACTTCCAAAGCTGGGAAGATCAAACTGTTAAATTTCCACTGGCTGATAAATTAATCAACATAGAACAAGCACCCAGTTTTTCTCATTGAGACTCATTTTTCGTTTCATTTGTCCCTGCTGAAGGACAATTATCAAGCAATGGAGCACAGTGAAGTAATGTGTCACTCATATTACCACTTATCTAGCATCAATTAATGAGAATGTATGATTCCAAATGAACACCCCTTGAATCTCAGAGGGATCTTCGAGGTTAGTCAGAAGGAATATTCCCACTGCAAAATGTGCAGCATTAAACCTGAAGACTGACCCTTGGTTAGAAAGGCTCAGGTGTTTGAGGATACAGGGAGCTTCCTTCTTTCCTTCTTTCCTTCTTTCCTTGTGAATCTGTGGTGATTTATAACTGTTTATCATCTATCTTAGGAATCAGTAATATAGTCCCTACTGGCATTCTGTCTGCAAAACCTCTGAATAACATCTATAGTCTGCCCCGCATTAAATAACTTTCATTATTTAAAAATTTAGGCAGATGCTTTAGGCAAATCTTACGTAATTTTAGCATAAGACTGAGATCTTATGAGATTTCGATTAGGAATGCTGAAATCTGACAGTTTGGATAACAATCCATAACACATCATACATAGAAAAGCTGAGAATGCTATCATAGAAATCTCATATTTTAGCCTTTAAAAATGCAACCGTCTCGCATATGATATAGTCACATCAGGCACAATAAATGACAGGGAAAGTATTTGCTCACCTACAGATTCAATGCAGAAATCAAAACTTAGTTCTGATGCCAACTTCTTGCTTGACTTCAGCTTACCATGCAAATTCACAATCTTCACAAATCCTTGATTGAAAAAAAGCAAACAATATAACAGTAATAAAAGAATCTCGGTGCCAGATAGGCTCAACGCCTGCCTTCAAAATCAAAGGAGAAGAACATAGTACTTATAGAGCTCAGTCAGCCTCACTCAGTTTAAGGTCAAATCAACTGGACAGATTTTTCAAGAGACATGGTTTGAATTTTGCTGACATTAAAAATATTTAAATTCACTGTTTTAAGGCTGTGCTGAATTCAATTGAGATCATTTATAGAAATTCTTTAGACTTTTTCACTAACTTGAAAAACAAATGTTATTTTCCCCTCAAATATTCACCAGGTTTTCCATATTAGAGATAAGCTCATCTGTCGCCAGATCAATAAATGTACCTATCATCTTTCTTTCCTTATCAGTAACTTTTCATTTGCTGTTATGAAAATAGTAATAGCAATAGCGCTTAAGACTTATATACCGCTTCACAATGCTTTTACAGCCCTCTCTACAGAGTCAACATATTGCCCCCCCAAATCTGGGTTCTAATGAGCTTAATCTTTGTTGTTTAATCAGGGGTGGGATTCACATTTTTTAACAACTGGTTCTGTGGGTGTGGCTAGGTGGGTGTGGCCATATGACTAGGTGGGCGTGGCTTCTTTTGCAGCAACCCCCCCTCCCATTTTTGGGCCTCCTGGGCCTCAGGGAAGCCTCCTTGCGGGGGGGGGGTGTTTTTCTCTCAGAAGGCTTCCCTGGGGCCCAGGAAGGCAAAAAATGGAGTAGGGGGTGCAGGTCCCCCCTCATTGCCCCCCAATGCTCATTTTTGCCTCCTGGGCCTCAGGGAAGCCTCTTGGGCGAAGCAGTAAAACAGTGAGGGAGATCCCGGCACAGCTGGTCATCAGAACAGCTGATAGTTGGGAGGGGGGATAAAAAGAAATACCTTAAGGAGTGACTGTATGGGGGAGAATGTAGTCAGCGATGTTGGGATGTGCGATGTCGCACATGCACGATAAGGACTGACTGGGCAGGGAGGGGAGGGGCCAGCCAGGGGCATGATTTGCCAGCTCTCCGATCTGTGCAGAATCATAACAACCGGTAGAATCCCATCCCTGTGTTTAATCTTTCTTGAACCAAGGATCACCATGGGCTCATGAGGGCCAGCACAGATATCCAAGTAAGCTGGAGGCTGAAGCAACACCAGGTAAAAGCTTAAATTTGATTTTGTAATTAAAAGTAAATTGCACAGATGAAAAAGAGATAATATAATTAATTGCCATGTCTCATATTAAAAAAAAACTTTGGAAGCTTCTTGGTAGGTAATGGATTGTATAGCTGTGTTTAATTTTGACATAATGATGCTAAAGGCACAACTGAGAATGATGTGATTAAGACATCAGATTAATAGTTTCAGAACAGGTACAGTTAATCAGCAGTTCACTGTGTCACAATCTCTTTTTTCTCCTTTCTTTACTTGCTCTCTATTCATTAAAAATTCTAGCAGTTACAATACTGTACTACTTTCTGTTGGGGGTCAGAAAAGATTGATCAACTCTTGGAAAATCTTAACTTTTGCTGCAGCAATGATTTAGGAGTCAATCCTGCTTCTTGCCACTTGGGGGCTTTTGCTGAAGAAATATTCACTACAATGAAAGGGTCAAGCAATACATTTGGCTTTGCTACATGTCTACAACTTTATTACATCGAACAGCAAATGTGGGCACTGGGCCTAGTTAGCATCCTTTCTGCAGAACATCAAATGACGAAAGGTTCCCCCTGTTCCCATGCAGTACTACAGAGACTGTCAAAAAGTTTAATGGCTTCTGCTGTCATTCCAAGATGTCACAAACGCTGCCTTGTATTTCTGAGGCTGGAATGAGGGGGACTGAGGCTAAAAGCAGAGAACTGGACAAATGCATTTCAGCAATTTGAAAAATTCTGGTTTTGCTTTGCTGACATATACTGGCCAGAGTGAACAGACTGGGGTGTTCTACTGTGTTTCTCATATAATAAGGCCCTGAAAAAATGGCTAGGCTGTCTTTTTTGGGGTGACTTAATTCCCCCCCCTTGCATCCTCGGGCAGGCGGGTGACGATGGCTTGGATGTTGACCTTGGTGTTGGTGGGGCACTTCGTATCAGGAGACCTTCCACCACCGTTGCTTTCCCTTCTCCTGTGCTGCTGCGGCATTTGGAGCAACGCCATGGCGTTTGGCACAGCCACGCTGGGATGGCCAGGGCTCTTCCCTGCAACCGGAGCCCGGTGGAGACACTAGGCTTCAGGCACTCCTGTCGCCGCCTTCCCGAGCATTGTTCGAAGGCAAAGCCCATTCTTTTAAAAACGACGCCCTACTACTGATACAACAAAGCCTCCCCTGCCCAAGAGGGAAGTGAATCTCCCAGGGCTGCAGGCGAATCTCCCAGTGCCGCAGTGCAGGATTGGCCCACCCAGGGAGAAGCGCCCAGCTGCCATCCCTGCTGACAGGTGGGCCCTCCTGCCCGGTGGCAGAGCTCTGGCCAAAGCAGTGAGCGCCTCCCCGCCGGGCCATCCGCTCATCCCGCCAGGGCCGCGCTGGAGCTGGGTGGGCTTGGCAGAGCCAGGAAAGCGAGCCGTGGGTGTGCCCCACCTGCCAAGCGAAAAAGCCGGGCTGACCCGAGCTTGGCTTCCTTCCCAAGTCCCTCCAGCCTGGCCCCGAAGTGGCCACTGGGAGAGGCTGCCCGAGGCAGTGATAGCGCCCACCCATCCGTGGACAGGAAAGCAAGGCGATGGCCTGTGCCACGTCCTCCAAGCTGAGCCCCGCCGAGTGAGCGCCTCTGCCCAATGCCCGTGCCGCTGCAGCGTTTGGAGATGCCGGCACGTTTGGAGATGCGTGGGAACCGGGATGGGCTGGCTGAGGGATGGAAAGGATGGGCGGCTTCAGGCTCTCTGTTAGACCCGCCGGCCAGGGAAGCAGCACATGAAGCTGAATGTCTCTGCCAGGCTCCGGTTGCAGGGAGAAGCCCTGGCTGGCCGTGCGTGGTTGTTCCAAATGCCACGTGGCTATGCCAAACACTGCGGCGTTGCTCCAAATGCTGTGGCAGCACAGGGAGAAGGGAAAGCAATGGTGGCAGAAGGTCTTCCGATACGAAGTGCCCCACCAATGCCGAGGTCAACGCAGGCAGCACCATATCCGGGTGTGCAACAAAAGTACTTCCTAACGGCAAGCCCCCCGCCATTCCCCCCCCCATTTTGCATGTTTTAATATAGGCCTTAATTTGGGGGGAGGGGCTTAATTTCTTTTCATGCCTATAAAACATGCTGGGACTTCCTATTGGGGGAGGCCATATTGTTGGAGAAACAGGGTATAAGGCTATAACATAAATAAATCCACATAAATAAATTCAGAAGCCTCATGAGAAATCTATGTGAGGACTTCCCTTGAGCTTGAAGCTATCCTTTTGTTAGTTTAATTTACACAGAGTGGCTTCTAATGCTAGAAGCACTGGAGAAGTGAAGCTTTCAGTTTTTCTTGAGAATGAACCTTCTCTATCTGAAGATGCTTTTCAATTAGATAAGAATCAATGGAAAGAGACTTTATCTGGAGACCTCCATTTCTAGGATCAGGCAAAACACTAAAAGAAAGGCCTTTTCAATGACAACACCAAAATGCCACATGTCTGATGTCTACTGTGATATTTTTCTGCATCAGGTAAAGCTGAATGCATTCTTAATCATATATTATCTTCCTTTGAGGTATTTATTCCTTATGTCCCATCTCCTATTTTATTTTAGACAGGATATGAATCCCATTCACTTACTGTCCAAGCAAACAAGAACTGTATCTCTTTCCAGCTGAGTGACGTGGATGGCATCAAGTTGTTGACAACCTTTAGGGGAAACAAGCGATTAGTCTGTATCCAAAACATCAAGGCACCAAAAACTAATACGCATTCAGCTTATTATATCAGAAGCCATTAAAGTTGCTTTGAAATAAAAAAGCAGTAAGAAAAAAAATAAAGAGGTTCAATTTCATGGACTCTTCAGCTCAGATTATTTTTAGAGCAGTATTTTAATCACTGCCTTCTTCTTACCGATGTTTAGGACAGGGTAAGGAATTATAAATTGTTTAAATGTTGCCGGATTATATTAGCAAGCAGGGAGGGTTGACAGGAGTTACAGTTTAGAAGCATTACCAATACTTAATACTGCAAGCAGGAATTATGCATGTTATAAGTATTTTAGAAGCAACCAATTGGTGTATTATGTAGGTAACATGTGGCAGACAAAGAGCCCTTGATCTTGGATTACAAGAGAAGCCTTAAAAGGATGTTGCAGGTAATAACACTCATTCACTGTGAATGTGAGGAGAGAAGCAAGAAATTAAAAGGGAAATATTGTAAGAAGAAGCATTGTTCTGAAGAAAAGGGAAGGAAAGGAAAGGTTTCCTTTATTAGGCCGCTGAACACTAAGATAGCATAGTAACAAGTCACTTAATAGGCAACATTTGTACTTAATAAATACATAATGGTACAAAAGCAATCTTTCTATGACCTTTGAATTCCCCATCATTTCGTTCTCCCATTAAAAAAAAGTATTTTTATTAGAATTTGTCCCCTCATCAATCCTAAACCAAAGGCCCGTTGAACATTCATAGAACACTGTAGGGAGAAAGCAGCCTATAAGAACAAAACAAAAACCCACCAGGAAATTGGTAGCAACTTTTCTGACTAAGATTTCCTAAATTGCAGTTCAGTTCATTAGATGCATCCTGCAGAACATCTGCTTCTATTATGTAGTTTCTTTGATTAGGAATCGTTGCTGGAATCCAATATCTGTCCAAAAAACAACACCCACTCTACGGGTCCCCTTTTCACTGCAGAACACTAGGGATTCATCTTAGAAGGAAAGTCTTCTGCAGGTGGCTATCAACAAGTCTGCTTGGGTTCCAGATGTAAGTATATGGTCTTCTGCAGGAGGGGAAAGAGGTTGGGCAAATGACATGCATCTTGATGTCAACCTACAAATGACACCTAGTTGCTTATAATTATAGAGTGGTGACATTTGCACAATGATGTCATGTTGCATGGGTCATTAATTTTGATATGATCAGGGCTTGTAACATATCTATGCCAGAGTATCTTATTTTAGAAAATAGTTTGAACAAGCTGGCTTCCTGCAGTCCTTACTGGAATACCAGTAAAATAGAACTTCTATACATTGAGGAGTCAAATCGTTCCAACTGTTAATCTTCATCGCAGCCCTCTCCAACTAAGTACCTTCTAAATGTAGACTAGAGTGAGGGGTTGTAATCCAACAAAGCTAATCCATATGCTTCTGCTGTTATAAATATACTCCTGCTAATTACCAGTATAGGATTATTGTTCATTGAATTGTGGGTTGTACTGTTTTCATGTTTTATCCTATGTTTATCACATTTTTGCCTTAGACAAATAGGATTTTAGCAAAAATAATAATAATAAATAAAACAATGAGGTAAACGAGGTATGCACAAAATGTTGCATTGTATCTCTCAGAAAATGCAAAGTTCTGAAACATTCTAGAATGTTCTAGTCTTCTTCTGCACCATGCTGACCTAGCCATTTTTGAGAGCTGTCCAGCAGTTTCTTAGGACAAAAATCTTTTGGGACAGGAAGTGCTTTGTGGTGGTCTGGCTCCAAAACAAATATAAAATGTTCCCAAAAACATTCCACATCCGAAAACAGAATATTTTGCACATACCGAATACAGAGAGTAGACAAAATTAAACTAAATGCGGCCAGAGACTCACCTGTACCAATTTCTGTAAACCATGAAGAAGCGGAGTTCAAGTTGATTGTCTCAAACTGTACAACCTGATTTGGTTCAGCCCCTCTGCTGATCGCAACACATACCATAGGGTATTCCTGTTCAGGGATCACCAGCATTTCAAATACTTTCAGTGGCATTGGCAGAGGGAAATCAAAGTGCTGGAGGATGAAGATAATTAAAAAAAAATTAAACAACTTGTATATTTTAAAATATACATATTTAGAATGTATCTATTTGTTCCAGCATTATTTCATTTATATTTTATCTAAAAAGTAACCTACGTACAGTATTCAATTTAAATCTATCTACAATATTACAACAAATATAGAGAGGTATACAAACTCCATGGACTTTCTCTGAAAATGCTCTCAAATGAGCTTTTATTGATTCGCTTCCCAATGATTGTTATTTTATAGGCCCTTCTGTCCCGTTTTGTCTCCAAAAAACAAATTGCCAATTTATCCTTGATCTTTTTAAAATTTAAATATAGACTAACAGCTTAAACTGAATTCAAAAACTGCCTTAGATCCAAACTCATTTGAGATCTCAAATTATTTCAAAATTCTAACAGCAACTCTACTTTTGGCAGATTCCTTTTAAAAAGTTGCAAAAATACAAGAGAGAGGTAGGAGGGAAAGTTTACCTTTATTAACATGAATTTCTGCATTGGTTCATACCACTGAAGCAAAACAATTCCCAATTGCAAAGCTCCACAGAGATATTTATGACCTGTATATGGGTTTCTTACTAATGAAGGAAAAAGGAAAGAATTCTGAAGTAATCATAATAGATTATTTTAATTTGCCAGCTACTTGAATTCATGTTACGATTTATCACAAATGAATCATTTATCACTATTCTCCTATGCCTGGAGTAACCTCCTAGAAAAGTCATGTGATGTTGCATCTCCACAGAGATATAATTTTTGTTAACATTATTAATTCAATCAAGTTCCCTCAATCTACCTCTATTACAGACCGTATGTACTTCAAAGATTGCAGAACCACCACACTCAACATGGCCAATTGTAAAGGATTGGGATGGGTATTGTAGTTCAGTTTCTTCTTGGATTTCTTGTTTTTCTTTCTCAGTGGTATTGTACTGATCTGGGCTTCTATGATACATGATCTTTCACACGGTTAATCTGAGAGAGTAAGCCTGGGCAATTTATACTTGCATGGAATCTCAACCTGCTATTCTCATCAATTACAGAACTATCCATGTAGTCTTCCTCAGAGAGAAGGAACTCTCTCTGCAAGAGTAGTCAGGAAAACTTCTGAAGAGCACCTGCTCTACTTTAGCTAAGCTTTGACACTATGAGTTTAGAGAAAGAGCAAGAGGTGAGTAAACAGAAGATCATGTTTTGGGGCAATCTTCCATATTACCGTACCTTTTGAGATATACTGGATTATTATATTTCTGGTCAGAACAGTCACACAGGATAAGATAATTAAGATAATTATAGTCAAACATATGCAACAGTTATCACTCTAAGTGTATCACTCTAATTGTAGAGTAGTAGAGATGGAAAGATGAAAACTTACCTATGCAACATTTGTGGCATCCTTTTGTATCTGGGATCTTTGTTGTTAAGGCAAATTTTCTGAAAAAACAAACCAACCCAGAGCCAACTGTTAAGAATAGATCAGAGGCCTCATGGGAAAATATTTTTTAACAGAGTTTTCTTTAAGCCACTTTTGATTTAAACCCATAGAATATTAAACAGTGACAGGAATGGAGTAACTGTTCTTGATGGCAATTGTATATGTTTACAAAATAAAAAAATTATGGAGAAGGACACAGTTATCTCCAAATATCAGCTTTTGGAGACTGTTTTTGTAGCATTTTGGTGGACTTTCTGAAAATAGAAAGACTTTTTTCTGTTCTTTCAGGATTTTCTTCTTATGCAGACTCCTTTCTTCTATTAACATAAAAGGGTCTTCATTTTTAATATATAATACTTCACTTACAGTAATAAAATCTAACACAAACTAAATTTATAAAAAGAAGAGAACAGAGATGAGTAAAAAGTGCAAGGAAAAAGAGAGAAAAGTAAGAATAAAGAAAAAGAAATATTATATATAAATATCAATACTTTATGACTTCTGATCTTCATCACAAAACAAATCTAGTAACTCTTTACCACCTCTAAAATTAAACATTTATCCCCTCATCTCATATCCTATCACTTATTTATAAATATATCATAAAACATATTTCAGTCTTGGTATCAGCAGAAAGTCCATAAAGGGCAGTCAAAATAACATCTTAGTTTAACCATGTTTAAATTTGTTCTGAAGATTTCTAGTAGCTTAGTGAGTTTTACGAACTTAGTATCCTTTAAAGAAGCCCTGTCACAGTTATGAGCAAGAAGGCCGATTCCATTGTCTCTGGTGCTCAAATGTGTGGAAAATCACTGTTCTGCAATCTTCTTGCCAGGAGCAACTGTCTGGAATACATGTGGCTAATCTCTCATCTCCTCCTTATCCAGAGAGATCCAAGGAATTAATCTATTCATCAGTTCATTGGTTTTTGCCCCAGCTATTTGTTCTACTTTTGCAGAGCTGTTTTCAGTTCAATACTGCCCCCAGAAATTTCAGGAACTATTTTCCTGAATTCGCTGACTAGAAATGCAATGCTTTATGTATAAAATACATGGTACAAGAAAACTATATACTGTTTTAATAATTAACATTCTTCAGAAGTATTGAACTCTAAAGAAACAAATTACCCATGTTTGACATTTCAGAATATCATTCTTTTTCCTTCCCCAAATACATTTTTAGTTTTCTTTGCTTTCTTAAATTGTTTTTTTCTGTAGCTCTAGATGTACAGGAAAAATTTCTCTAAGTTGGTATAAATTCAATCATAATAAACAATTCTATCTTGTATCCATCCAATTGGCCACTATTATAATATTCTTCTTACTGACTTTCACCTAGTGGCAATTTCAATTCTAGCGGTCATCAAGAACAAAAAACCAATTTCCCTTTCCTTTACCTTAACAATATCCTTTGTGTAACCTAACAAAGATCTTAATAGTTTTAATCACATTCTGTAATATCCTTTAACTGTTTTAATGGCTGTTTGCCATAATATTTAACTTTCAACAATGCTATCATCTGTGAATACCATCTACTCTGTTATCTCCTATAGCATCAACACAGTTTAGAGTCCTGTACTTTATTTAAAGAACTATATAATTATTTTCCTAAAGTTATTTGACAACAGAGAGCCAGTGTGGCATAGCAGTTAAGTTGCTGGTCCAGACTCTAAGCCAATGACTCTGAGCCAATGACTTCCCCTCAGCCAAACCTACGTTATATGATTACTGTTGTGGGGAATATGCCTCTTTGCCTAAGGTGCCCTGAGCTCTTGAAAAAATTGAGAACAATTACATTCTATTTTATCAAGCATTGTGTACTTTATACACTTAAGAAGGTATCATGCCATAGTGCAATGAATCATATAGATAACTTGATAGAAAAAGTTTATATAACCGACAAAGTATAAAAAGAAAAAATGAGAAGAATAGAAAAAAGCTCAGGAATAAAACAAAAATAGTCCAATAATTCATGCTAGACAATTGCAGTTATAGTTGGGAATGAAAACCAAAGGAAGAAACCAAAAAGCACTTTACAATATATAAAGTTATTTTTAAGAGATTCTTATTTGTCCAATGCTCTGTCTATTCTCCATCCCAAGATACTGAAAAGCCTCTCAATTCTGATTTGCAACTTTAAAAATTATAAATGCTTGTTACATTATGGCTATAGCACAGAGTAAGAAAGGCTGGATTAAAATCTATGTTCAATCACAAAGCACACTGGGTGATTTGGGGTCAAACTTTGCTGGATTGCTATGAGGATAAAATGAATAAATTGAAAAAAAGAATATGTGAAGATGTCCATGTTTGTGTGGGGGAGAAAGATAGAAAAGCAAATGTCAAGCTCCATGGAGAAGTGGCCTAATAAAAGTGAAACCTATGCCAACAACTTTATTTCTGAAATTTATCTTCAACTTTCCAGACAAATATGCTTCAAAATTGTCGTAAATAAATTAAAATGAGAATAAAATAACTAAAGAAGGAAAGCTAAAGCGACAGAATGAACCACTTTACAAGCAGAAGAGCGGGGGGGGGGGGGCGGCGACTCCCTGGAGGCCTGAATGGGACCAGTGAGGACTAGAGGCAATCTTTGAATGGGTTCAATTGGTGCTACTATTATCACAATTTGTCTCCTTGCCTTGCTTTCAACAGAAGGAGAAAACTGTTGAAATAAAATCTTAGCAATCTCTCTGCTTTTCATGAACTACAGAATCTCTGGGTCCCAAACCATAAAATTTATATTTTTGTTTCACTTTCCTGAAATCAATTATCTATTTGTTTATTTGTATCCCGCTTGTATTATTTTTACAAACGTCCCAAGGCGGTGAATATATCAAACACATTTTCTTCCTTCTATTTTCCCCACAACAACTCTGTGAGGTGGGTTGAGCTGAGAGAGAGTCACTGGCCCAAAGTCACCCAGATGGCTTTTCATGCTAAGGCAGAACTTGAACTCACAGACTCCTGCTTTCTAGCCTGGTGCCTTAACCACTAGACCGAGCTGGCTCTCTAATATTATAATATTATAGAATGTTGCAAATACCCGTCTATATTTGCAAACCTAGAAGGAACAAAAACAATTTTCTATGAACATTTACAAGAAGAGGCAACCATTTATGGAAAATATTGTCATGATCAGCTACAGCAAGCAAGCCAGATAAATGCCTGGGGCAAAATAGCAAAAACTTGTTATCTCAAGATTACCATACCTTGGTAGTATTTTATCGGGAAATCGGTGGGTCTGAATATGAGCAGCTATTCCTGTTTTTTTGGCTTGTTCAAACAAAGCTATTAGGTTATGGGAGTAGAGCTGGAATGTTTTCCCTATAACACAAGATGATATTTGATCTGTGTCAGACTCTTACATATCAAACTGATATTGCAAAAATAAATAAATAAGTAAACGGAGGAGGAAACTTATAGAGCAGAAAAATTACCTTCTAAAAGAATAGCCCCCAAGTATCCATAGGTCCAAGCAAATTGCAGAATGAAAGGGAACAAATTAAAGAGAAATGATTTTAATAGATTTACCAAAAGTTAAATTCAGTACACTGAAATTTTCCACCCCCACCTTTTAAACTTTATGAGACATTTATTCAGCAATATACATACCTGAGAGTGACATTAAAGTGTTGTTGATAACATACAGCCATGTGCACCGCCGTGGGAACAACTAAGAAAAAGGAGTAGAAAATGTTTCAGTGGTGAAATTGGGGGAAAAGGTATTTTGATTCTAGAGCTCCGTGAATTCCAGGAAATATAATTCTTGGGCAAACAAAATTATCCAAAATGTAAACACACAAGGAGACCTTCAACTCTCTTCAACCTGATCTAATATCAATACTACTAACAGGATAATTTGAAGTAATATTACTTGGAGGTAATCCCTTTGTATTCAACTACATTTATTGCTAGATAAATAAAAGCATTGAGATCAAATATCTTGTCTGTCAATATCATTATCAAACTTTTCAGAACTCCATGTCACTCACATTTTAATACTTTTCATCTATAAATTTATCTCTACCTCCCGCCCGGACTTTTAAGATCACTCATAATAATTCATATTGCAAAACTGAATACCAGGAACCCCAATCAAAGAGGCTGAAAGAGCAGGAACAATAACAGAAAATTGTGGTAGATCGAAATATTACATTGAGAAATGTAAAGCAATAAGAATACTTTCCAATCACATTGCAGGCTATACTGAGTGATACTGCTCAGAGAAGAGATGGATAAATTTTCCTTAGGAAAAATCACAGATTTAGGTCAATCATTATTATTGATTGATCAATAATATTGATTGATCAATATTATTAAGTGTTGTACCTTATGATTCTTGACTCTGGATGAATGTATCTTTTCCTTTATGTACACTGAGAGCATTTGCACCAAAATAAATTCTTTTTGTGTCAAATCACACTTGGCCAATAAAGAATTCTATTCTATTCTATTCTGTCATATGCAATCTTTTTCAGGCCGAGAATATTCTGGATCTTAAGTGGGACCACATTCTAAAAAGTGGAGGAATCCAGAAGAAATATGTAACTTTTTGCTGAATTTAATTAGAACTAAATATCAAATTAGATCAAATGCAGTATGACATTTTATAATTACTGCCTATGCATTTCATATATTTTTCCTAACATCTAACATTCTCAATCTAATTCAGCAGCATCCACAAGGAGGGGCCAAAGAAGTCAAGATGTCTGCATAACCAAACAATCAGAAGCCCACATCTTTTTCATTATTGTAGTTGTTTGTTTAAATTCATTGACTACCCAGGGAGGGCAAACACACACACACCCCACCATGGTACAGGAGGCCATCTAGGCCATGCCCACCATGGCCACACCCACCCAGCAACCAGGCAGAGAACTCATTGTTAAAATTTTTGAAGAAGATACGTCAATGCAGAATATTTGGGATACAATGAAGGCATATGCAAGAGGATTAATAATGGACTATACAAAGAAAAAGAATATTAGGAAGAGGCAAACTATCAAAGCTTTAGAAGATGATTACAAAAAACTGGAAAAAGAATTGCAGAATATGCCACAGAAACGAGCATCATTTTTACCTGGGTCTCTCCCTCCCTAGAGAATGACCACCTCCATCTGGGACCCAGAAAACATTCTCACTTACCTGCTCCATGGTAGCTTCATGCAGCTCATTGAGATTCAGCGTGTAAATGCCCTCCTCAGTCCCAAAGATAATATACTGATCTGTAATACAGTAGAAAAACCAATTGACTTAGCTACACAAGTTGAAAAAAAGTGAAATTAACAAAGGATCTCAAATTTGCACATATAAAGCAACTTTTTACCTTTGGTGTCTGGGTGTATCCATGATGTGGCACAATTGATCTTCAAAGGACAGCCATCAAACACTTTTGAAAAACATGCTCCCATCTAGAACAGCATTAGTAAACAAAATACATCCCAATTTAACAACATGGGAAGTTCCTATTCGTTCTGGACAAAGTTTGTCTAGAATAATATAGGGTTTTCTGCTTGCGCAGGAGGTTGGACTAGAAGACCTCCAAGGTACCTTTCCAACTCTGTTGTTTTTTGGTTCTGTACCTTCAACTGCTATAAACAAGGGCCAATGAATCTCTGGGATGAGAGATAATAAAAAATGGAATGAATCCTGATCTACTCTGTGGAACTTCAATACCATACAGGGATTTTGTATCTCACAATTCCTTTGTAATGGGAGGATGTCTGTTTCTATCAACCCCCCTACCCAAACTCTGTAATTTGGGAAGGCATCAGGGGTGGGATTCTACCGGTTCGGACAGGTTCTGTAGAACCGGTTGTTATGATTCTGTGCAGTTCAGAGAACCGGCAAATCATGCCCCTGGCTGGCCCCTTCCCTCCCCTCTCCATCAGTCCTTATCGCACATGTGCAACATTGTGTGCATGCCTGACATCGCTGACTGCATTCTTCCCCGCCCAGTCACTCCTTAAGGTATTTTTCCCTCCTCCCGATCATCAGTTGTTCCTATAATCAGCTGTGCCGGGATTCCCCTCACTTACTTTCTGCTTCGCCCAGGGGGCTTCCCTGAGGCCCAGAAAGGCAAAAAATGGAGGGGGGGCATGCAGCACCCCCCCCCACCTGCTCTTCCATTTTTTGCTTTCTGGGCCCCAGGGAAGCCTTCTGGGAGCAAAAACACCCCCCCAGGAGACTCCCCTGAGGCGCAGGAGGCCCCAAAATGGAGCCCGAGGGTTGCTGCATGCCCCCCTTATGCTTAGTTTTTTTCCTTCCTGAGCCCCAGGAAAGCTTCCTGGGAGCAAAAATGCCCCCCTCAAAGGCTTCCCTGAGGCCCAGAAGGTCCAAAAAAAGGGGGAGGGATGCAAAAAAGAAGCCACGCCCACCCAGTCACATGACCACATCCACCTGGCCATGCCCACACAACCAGTTGTTACAAAATTTGAATCCCAGCCCTGGAAGGCATAGAACAATGATGAGGGTTAGTTAGCTATTATTTTTAAATACTTATTTCAGCAATCTGATAAAATACATGAAAGATTTATCTATATTAGTTTTAGTTAAGGGAGACTGTTCCATTAGCCAGTAAGATCTCACAGTGATGCCAAAGTCTCACAAGCTTCATTCTTATGCATGATTCCCAATCCCTTTGAAAAATCCCATGCTCGTTAAAGAGGAGGATGGAGGCTAGGAGCCAAAAGAGGGGAAGAAAACAATTTGGGTTGGGGAAAAAGGGTGCAGATGAAACAAAGTTTAACAGCAGAACAATATCAACACACCTTCTTTTTAACTGAAAGAACTTACCAGCACTTTTGGCGTTGGTGGCAGGCCATTGATTGCTGGCTTCTGTCAACAATAATAGCAAAAGGCCAAATTTGAATTCAATCTGAAATATCCCTAACATACTTTAGTAGGCGGAAAAAATACTCTCAAGAATGAATCAGTGTGTTCTGTCCTTGTTATTTATGGGATTGCTTAATAGTTAAATTTGCATGTGTATTAGAATATTCTGCCAAGATAGGCACTCTTAGGGTGCTTTTATGTTTGGTATACGTCAACAATGAAAGTGTGTTCTTGGCAGAATTCCTTCTTACAGAGAGATTCTTGTGCCAGGCAAATTGCTTTTATCCTCCGGAAAAGTATCATCTGTGCATGTTTTTGAAGTGCTTAATTTGTGCCTTAGTGAACTGCAGCTTGCTAGAGCATGCTAAATGGAATATTCTTTTAGGCATTTATTTAAAACATTTTCAATAAAGTAAATACATGTTAGTAAATGGATTTTTTAAAAAAAAGATTTTCAGGATTTCTGGAATGTTGAGCTGCAAACAATTGGAGAAAGAGATATGCAGGTGCTACGTAAACAGAGGAGAGTTCAAGTCCCCCTTAATTCCAGAGCCTCAGTGGGTGGCTTTGAGTCAGTTATTCTCAGCCCCACTTACTTTACAGAAGTGTCACTGTGGGGTAAAATGAAGGGGAGCCCTACATAAGCTGCCTTCCGTGATCAGAGGAAAGATAGGTTGAGGAAAGGTGAGAGACACATCTGACTAACAATGCTACACTATTAAAGCCTGGGATGAGTGGGATGCATAAGTGAAGGAGGGGTAGTGCCAATGTTTGCCATGGCTCCGTTTCTAGGCCTTCAGATTTGTAGATAGCTCTAAAAATCTGGGAAAGAAGAAGCTCGCCCATTGACTTGGACCATCTTCTCCACCGAGAACTTTCCAGATGCGTTAGAGTGACAATTCTCAGAATTCCCATCAACACAGCCAATAATCTTAACACAGAGAGAGAATTTGAGGCTGAGAAAGATTTCCCAAATCTGCATTATTCTGGAACAGGTGTGTGTGCATGCATAGAAGGGAGAGTGCCACAGCAAACAGAGAGTTTTCAAGGATGGAAAAAATAATTCTTTCCTTGCCTGCATTTCAGCCACCTCTTCCTGCATCTCTGTGTCTCCCCTTTTAGATATTTATCTCCCCATTTTTATTATTTTTATGTATAATTCAAGTGATGAACATATTTAGTATTCCTACCTCCTCTTTTCCTCAAAACAACAACCCTAGGTGGAGAATGGGGCTAAGGGAGAGGGACTGGCCTCTCCCTTAGCCCCATGGTCACTCAGTCAACTTTCATCCCTAAGGCAGGACTAGAACTCACAGTCTCCTGATTTCCAGCCTGGTGCCTTAACCAAGCCAAACTGTCCCCTTTTTCTTGCCTGTCCCTCTGTAACCACTGGTGATCAAGAGTGCTTTTTGGATGTATCGAACAGCAATCAAATGTCCACGCTGCAGAAGAAAAGATATAAATGCCCACCAGGAATTCCCGCTTCTCCTTCTTCCGTGGCAGCTGCGGCATATGGCCCGATCCCTCAGCGTTTTCCTCAAGATGCTTTATCACAGTGTCCCCGTTACCTAAACAGCAGAATTGTAAATAGGAGTAAGCCCCACATGAAGAAAAATAGAAAAAAATAATCTAAATTGGGTAATGGGAAGAGGGCAACAATGCCCTTCCCTTTGTCCCAGGACCGTAGAGCCAGGGCAAAGCATTCACTAGTATTCCAGGGGATGAAGGGCCACTGGGAATCTGCATCCCTTCACTCAGGAAGATTTTCACATCAAAGGGGAGACTAACCCAAAGCTAGTCATGAGCCCCGGAAGTGGCAGCTACTTCCATTCCATTTTTTCTCCTTGATAGTCCACTGCTCTGCTGGGGCCAAGAGAAACAAGGAAATGATATAAAGAGGGAAAGACCAAGTTTTTTTCTTTTTCCCTTGGGCCTCCGTCCATTTTTTTACACATTATTCCTCTTTTATGGCTTATGCTGTAAGTTTTCGTGAGTCTCCTGCTTTTCAATGGCAAGTAATCATGCTGCCAAATGTTGGTATCATGAACAAAAAGGATTCCAGGGGCATCAAAGATGGGTTTTGAGGCTTCAGCCTGGAGGAAAAGTAATATTTTGATATTCTACATTTCTCAGAACACAAATAAGGGATTTTCAAGGGTTTATTTTTTTATGCCATATACTGAAATTTGGGTTGATGACAGAAATTGTAGAAGACAAAATTCCCACCCAGTTCCTCTTCTAAAGTCTGCAAACTGGCTAAGAACACATGATTATGGTTGAACCAAGTGCTTTTATATACTGTGAACTGACTGTCACATTTTAGAAGTCCTCTGACTTAAAATTTAAGTTCTTCTGCACTCTGATTTGGGCATTCCAATTTAAAGAAGGCATACTATATGCCAAAGTGAAAATATTCCTACTGGGGAATAGTGCATTGAGATATCCACCCAAAAGTACCAGACAAGTTGATAGTGCCATCTTTCCTCTCTTTTCATGCTGAATATTTTCAGGTTGTTATAGCCTGCGCCTGAGCATACAGAGGTTTTGCAAACTTTCTACAAAGATCTCCTTTAGTATTTGTTTCATCTTACATATTTCGGGAAGTCCTGATGAAAATGAATGAACCATGAAGCTAAGAGAACTTTGCATATACTGTTGAGCATGGTGGAAGTAATCCTCATTCAAGGAACAATGTTAGTTACCCAAATCTGTGTATCTGGCTGTGAGCAGACCAGGGCTGCTGACACTGCTGCTCATCCCAAATACAGGGGGTTCTAACTGAGGTCCACAAACAGGTATGCTTTGTCTTCGGTGACCTGGTGAGGCTTGATTTTGGAAATCGGGACAATACTTGATCGTCTGGGACTTCTCATTATCCATGAAAATTTCTTCTAATCGAGGCTAAAGCAGAAACATAAAACATGAATGTTGCTTTTCCCCTGGACATTTTCTATTTCTGAAGATGTGATCAAGCCTAACATGTTCCCTCTTTCCCAAGCCTGAGCTTCCCTTTATGCCTGATGTTTCTCCAAAATGGCCTCTCTAGCATATGAACAGAATCTCTATACCATAAGTTTAAGTTACTTAGACAAAGGTCCCCAAACTTGGCAACTTTAAGACTTGTGGACTTCAACTCCTAGAATTCCTTAGTTAGAACAAGACCAAGTAATATTAAACAATCCCTGGAAATGTGTGACCAATAGCAATAACATGAACAATGGATGATACATAAAATCTTACTAGTTTTTAGAAATCTTGTTCCTAAAAAGCTTCCTTAGTGTGAAATTGTTGATTAATGCTTAGGAATATGCAATTACCTTTGGAGGCAGAGGAGGGGGTCCGGCTCTTTTCAATGTTGATCTAAAAAAGTCCAACGAAAGTGTTTATTCCCATCTAGTAAGGTAGCAGCATTACTACTGGTATCAAGAAATCATTACTGCTTGCAATTTCAAAAAAATTGGCTACTTGCCCAGCATCAGGGGTTAATTTTGCAATAGTAGTATAGCTTTTTTCTTTCATATGGAATTATTTTCAAGTAAGCAAGCAAACAGAACTGATTATTAGTAAAATAAAAATACACAAAGATCACCCCTTTGAGATTTCTTTCCCCTTTGTAAATGAGGATATATCATAAACCTGAGAATGCCCTCTCCTGCACAAAGTCCACAGACAAGAAAAGTTACCTTAAATTTCTCTGGTGTTCCTCAAACCTACATCCTAAAATACATGTGTTGTTCTACTCTTAAAGATACAAATAACAGACTTTTAAAAGTCATTTACTTCAATATCCTATGAATGCAATCTATAGCTACAACATCCCTGAGAAATGGCGTCAACTTAAGAAACTCCAAAGGCGAGTTTCAAGGTCAGTCCATCAAGTCCAATATGAGCTGGTCCCAAATAGACTTCTCAGAGGACTATGTGGAAAATGAAAGAAATGATTTTACATTACTGCCTAGGCTGAACTAAGATTAATCTGGTCAACCATTTCATTGATGAAAAAAAAATCACTAGTAATAGCTCTGAATTTGTCATTTATTTTTTTCCCAGCAATTAGGAAATTAAGAGCCATTTGAAGCTCACAGAAGATTTGGGGTGTTTTGTTTGCATCTTGATAGACAGTGCAATGTAATGTTGCAAAATGATAGAGATCATTTTGGGAGGAAAACTGTACCTGCTTTCCTAAACATGTCTCGAGATTCTCAGTCACATAAGGTTATGGTTGTCCCAAAGGTGCTTTTTCAAGAGGCAACTGGACTTTCTTTTGTTTTTCCTTCCTTCCCCATCCAAGAAGCAAAGAGGAGTGAAGAAGCTTCTTGGATGAGAAGCAAAACATCTTCAAGGAAAAGCAAAGAAAGTCCCACTGCCTGTTGAAAAAGCACCTTTGGGTTTCTCAAATATGATGGCTAAGCAAACTGAGAAGTTGTGGTTTTAGAGAGCAGCTAATTCCTTAATTGTCTGCAATGCAAGTGGAAGCCCCTTCCAGAACCATCTGTTCTGAGTATCTTTATGTTGTAAGTCCATGGTGCAAGAAAAGCAAGATGGTTTGGCCTGTATCCAACGTGATGATTTCCATTCTCAGTGTGGAACAAACATAAGCCCTTTTGGGGGTAACAATTACGGTATCAGTCACTAAAGATAAAAAAGGCCAGCCAGAAAGCACTTACTCCTCAGCATCTTCATGGCCATCACCAAATTTGGTAAGATGTCCCCTAAAAGAAATGTTTACAAAATTAAAAAGGAAGAAAACAAATTGTAAATCAAATAAAAGTTCAGTTTGAGCAAGTGCAGTTGAAAGGCATCTATGTCTGTGACAGCTGAGAAAGTCAAGTGGCCAAGTTGGCAGAAATCTGCTCTATAGAAAAAAGATAACCCATAAAGGAAACCTGGAAGAGGCATAGATTCTCTGTGTCATCCAGGAGGCACATAACAATTATATCTGAAAGGAAGTTTTGCTCTGAATTTATCTTCAAACTTCAAAGGTTGAGAAACAATAGTCTATATGACAACCTTCCCCAGGATTGACTGTAGCTGTGTGGGGTAGAAACTGCAGGAATTGAGTTTGGAGTGTTATCTGGCTGGAGCAAGCTAGTTTTCAAAACACTGAATTTTCTCAATTTAACACTTGTATTAAGCTTCCTTCACCAATCTTCCCAAGGAACTCTTACAAGTTCATTATTTCCTTGGCCGTCATAAGCTTGGCTCAATTCATATATCAATTCTACACCTCCAGCAAGAAACATTAATGACCAAAGTTTTGCTCAGAATATCTGTGGACAGAAGAATTTAGGGGGGGGGAAATATTAATGACAGTTTGCTTTGGTTCCAACCATCCTCCCACAGAGATGGTTAAACTAATTCAGAGGAGAAACAACATGTTTGCTGAAAATTATATTAGCTGAAAATCAGATTTAAAGTAAACTCTGTTTTCATTAGAATTCTAGCTAGTGAAATGACCCTTTCACATAGAGCCAAAGTCTAATAAAGTCATAAATCACAGTTGTGTGTTTTCTAGAGAGGTCCAAGAGTGCAAAAAGCTACTCTGAAGCCAAACTAAAAAGGCTCATTTTTATTGCGTGGTGGTGACAATATCCAGGATTTCAGGCTTCCAAAACCCCAAGCATTTCCTGTTTATGCTGCTGGGCAGAACATGATCTCCAAGGGAGTGGAAGTTACATTTGCCTGACTGGACGTTAGGGGCACTCGTATTCTATTTATCACTGCAGCTGATGAATGTGTTAACACCTGGCGTCTCGGTTTCTTTGAAGAATTCATTCCATCCAAAGCAGCAATGAATGCTAGACATAAGTCCAGAAGCTCCTGTTTCCCAAAAGTGCTTTCTTTATCAGTTGCCTGATCCTGGAAGTCACTGCAGGACATGCCAACCCAAAGCAACGGAAAAGGCAAAAATACTCCTACGCAATCAGAGAAAGCCGTCAAAAATATCATGAATATTTACAAACCAAAAGAGAAATTCAAAACCGCTAGGATTACAAAGCCCTTTTCCTTCAGTGAAAAAAAAAGCTACTCTATAAAGGAATGCATTTATTCATATGTATTCCTCCTTATCCCAGTTTTCCCTGCATTTTCTTTGGTATAAACCCCATGTCAAAAGTAGTAAATTCCAAAAGCATTCTTCTTCACTCTTCGTGATAAAATCAACTGTGATTTTATAATTAGTAAAGATTTATGGAAAAATATATATAGTAAAAATATAATGTAATGGACTGGCCAAAAGAGGAATGTACTTAAAGAATGACCCACATAAATAGAGGCTATGCTGCAAGGCCCAATTCAAGGCTTTTTAAGGCAAAAATATTTTACTATGATGAGCTGCTTCTGCCATGGAACTAGTAGTTTTCTATTTGCATGGTGATATAAGAAACCTATGGTCCTCAAAGCTCTCAGATGACCTGACTAGGACCTATTCTAAAGAACAACTTTCCTAGGCTAGACTTTCTGGCTGCAGAAAAATACAATAATACTGATATCTGCCTCCTCCAATTTCGTGTGATCTAGAAGTATTGGACTTACTCTCATAAACCCCACTAAGCTGGTTTGGGCTACCTAGGAGAATGGCAGCGACTACCTAAACATCTCTTATGAATTGCTCAGAACATTATGAAGAATTCAAAATTATTTCTCATCCACTCAGGGCTAGGTGTAAAGAGAACTGATCTCTCATAAAAAAGCTGCCCATAGGGCTAATATACGTTAGCTGTGAACTAAAGAGACAGCAGCAGCTGTATTAAACATGCCTGAGGTTGAAAATATAACCCAGACTGAAAAACAACTTGTACACTCTCCCAATAGATTCCACTCTATGTATCAAATGAGATTTCTACAATCACATGTAACACAGTGCCCTTATCTCTCATTCCATGCTATGAGAAGCAGCACGAGGCAATGAGAATAAGTTTTAAAATTATTCATATTTCTGAAGTTCTTATCTTTTAGAACCCGAGACTGGGCAAACTGCACCAACAGCTGTAGTAAACAAAGTGCTTCCTGACGAATTTCCATAACAGCAGAGAAATACAAGGCAAACCTCTAACAGGTTGGCCATACTGAAAGCAAGGATAAGCGCATCCTGTTGCTTAAATAACTGGATCACAGATGGGCAACGTCTGTAGGATGAAGGACCACAACTGAGCCTTCCAACCTTATGAAGGCCACAGAACAGACAGGTTTTAATCCTCCCTCCCCTCACTTTTTTATCCATCCATCCATCTATCTGACAGAAAATTAATTGGCTTATTCCTTTCTTTTAATTTTGATGCCACCAGACTCCAGAATGAGTCTGAATGGCACCAAAACCAAATTAAGTAAATAAATAATGCTGAAGAATGGGGACAGAAGAGCTTCTGAATGGCAAACTATTCCCATTTTCAGGAGGTTTAATAGGGGGTTAATAGCAAAGGAGGGACATGTTCCCCAAAGAGCTCCCCTTCTTGTTAAACTGAGCTTGGAAGTCCTCTCGAACTCATACCGAGCATTGTCTCCTACAGTCTCCAATATCTGCTCCCCCCACTTTGCTCTCAAAAGTAAGATTAGCATGAAAATCCCCGTTATTTATTCAGGACAAAGCCATGCAAAACTTACTTGGCACAACCTCCACCATCAGTGAAAGGGCTCCAATGTGAAGCAAAGGGTGCTCCGGCTGGTATTCTCTGCCAATGCATAAAACCACAGATGAGTGACTTCCCAAGAGGACCCAATCCTCCAAAAATAAAGATTAGCAGTGCTGCAACTGAAATGGAAGCTTTATAGACACATTTACAGCCAAGGCAAAACAATTCCCAAATTAAGACACAGGACTGGTTTAGTTCTGGTCTGGAAAATTCAAGCAAGACAAGGTGTAGCACAGTATAGTAGGTATCTGGAGGAGGAGCCAGGCTTCGACCTCACATAGCCAAAAGCAGCTACCATAATGGTGGAGGCTAGTAGTTTTGAAATACAGTAGTCCTCGCTTAAGGTTCATTCTTTCAGCGGCCATTTGAAGTTACGATGGCACTGAACAAAGGGACTTATGACCTTGAAGTTGCAGCTGCTGCAGCACACCAGTCTCACAACAACAACACTCAGTCCCACCGGGGCAAGACCTGCTTTTGGGGCAGCCTTCTATCTCTGGCCATCAACTGCCCCCACTTCACCCCACTCCATTATTGCAATGTCGAAAAAAAAAAAAAAAGGAGAGATAGGGGAGTGGGGAGCTCAAAGGTAGGCAGATACAATCCTTTACCTTACTGAATCTCAGAGCTGGAGAGATAAACCAGGAATGGCTTGGACTGGGGTAGGTCCTTGCCTAACGACCAGTGCGATTCAGGTAAAAACAGCACTGGGAACTGATGGGATAGTTGTTGCTATAGGGTCTCCTGCTTGAGCAGGGGGTTGGACTAGAAGACCTCCAAGGTCTCTTCCAGGTCTAGTTGGTTTTCACCCGGTGTGTCCCAATATGGTATTTCCAATAAAAGTATCCTTTGAGGAATTTAATTGCCTTGGAATCTTGCTTACCAGGGATTTATTACTTGGAACCCTGACAATATGACACACTACTTATTAGAATCAAGAAATGAGTTACTGCAGGACTTCCGGGTTGTGCCCTCCTCACTGATAGACCGTAGATCGTGACTGTCCGCGGCTATGGTCTGTGCTCTTTCATCGGAGAGCCCCAATCATTGCGATTAAGGGCTGAAGCTGTCTTGGAGGGGCGGTGGAGTAAGGGGAAGACGCAAGCCAGGTTGAGGGGAGCTGCATCTCCCCTCCTGGGCTTGGTCTTTTTCCCCCCGAAGACGACTGAAGCGGTGGTCTAAAATGGCCACCCCGAAGAAGATTCAGCTGGACTAAGATTTGTGCAGGAGGGAAGAAAGAGGTGGATAACATCTGAACCGGGACAATTGGATGAAACAACTAAACAAAAAGTACCCCGGGATTAAGGTAACATTGAACTTTTAAGAAAAGAAAAGTGAACAGCGGAAATACAAAGGGACAGGAAAAAAATAAGAAAATAATTTTGACAGCTAAGTGGGGCTTCGAACCGGGAAAGGAAGAAGCCGGAATTAAAGACTTAATTAAATTGGACTAAAATATTTTGGCAATAAACAGGCATAAAATAAAGCTGGACTTAAGATTGTCAAAAAATAATAATAATAAAATTTACAAGTTGGAGACTGGATTGTGCTGGAATATTGAGGTTCGAAAAACCCTAAATAAAAAAGTAGGGGAAAAAAGTGAGGACTTTGTATAACGGAGAGTGCCATCTTCTGACAAAAACTTGAATTCAAATAAAAGGGAAAGCATCCTGTTTCTGTATGAACTTGTGTTGATATAATGTTAAAGAAATATTGAAACAAAGTAAGAATCTTAGAAAGTGAAAGCTGAACCAGAATAAAGAAAGAAGCAAGGAAAGACTGATTGTGGGATTGATTGACGTTTTTGGTATAGACCCTGGGCTGGAACAACTGAGAACAGAAAACTGGAAGAAGAAAGAAGGAAAATAGAAGTGTTTTTTGTGGACTTCAACGATTATAAAATATAAGAGTGTGTAATGATGATATCTCTTCACAAATTAAAAATGGAACTTAAAAATATGAGAGAACTACTACAGGAAAGAGGCGAATCACTTTGCTCTGTGTTAGAAGAAATGGAAATGGCGATTGAAAAACAAGAGGAAAGAACTGTAGAGGAGGAGGAGTCGACTCAAGGAGAAGCCATCTTAAATAGACAATTAACACAAAGAACACTACAAAGACGAGGGGAAAGAAGGAAGGTTAAAAAGTTGAGATTTAAGAAGGTAATCAAAAAGGGGAATATCTGTGAAAGTAGGAGAGATAGAAAGATCCAGCAGAAAAGGGGAAAGGAAGATATCAAGAAAGAGAGGGATATAAACTGGAATGAAAAAAGATATGGGAAAAAGAGGGGGAGGAGAGGCAGTAAGAAACAGGTGCATGAAATAAAGAACTATGGAAATAGTAAAATGATGAAAAAAAATCATTTTTTCAGAGATAATGGTTGATGAACTAAAAAGGGGATTCTGCAGGGTGACAAGGGGTAACAAGAATATATTTGCAATTTAAAAAAATACTTAGAAAATAGGGTAATATAGATTATTAAAGAAGGGATACTGATAACTTTTATTAGATGAATATATATCTTTATTTTTATTTCCAAAAGAAAAGTTAAGGTTTATTGAAGAAATTGTAATAATTGAAATGGATGTAAAGATGTTTAAAAATGAGGTTAATATCAGTGACCAGAAATTGAATTGTCAATTTTTTCCCTTTTACCTCCTTTGAAATTAGAAATAAAATTAAGGGGGGAAAATATGCTGCGGAATCCAAATGAAAAGATGTAATGATTATTATTGTAACTACTTAAAAATAATGGTTTATTGGGAATTAAGATGAGGGAATAAAGGTATATTTTAACCACTGAGGTGTTGCACTCAAAGCAGTAAAAGGGGGGAAACCTAAACTTGCTTCTTTTGTGTGTGTGTGTTAAAACTTGTATTAACCTAGAATCTATAGAAAGAATGTGTGATGGAAAGCAAACATGACAGATTAAAGAACTACTTAAATTAATAAACTACTACAGACTATTAAAAGGAAGGAGAGACATTGGTAACTTTTTTTGATTAGGCAAACATATATTGCTACTTTTATTTTTAAAATAAATATTAAAGGATTATATTTGAAATAATTGAAATGGAACGAAAAGATGTCTTGATTGAGATTAATGTAAGAGACTAGGATTAATTTGCTTGTTTCTTTCCTTTTGGAAAGTTTGAAATGGAAAAAGTAATAGTAGTATGCGTATGTGAATGTATAACTATTGTCATATTTGTATGTAAAAGTGATGACCCGGAAATATGTTGTCCACTAAAAAGAGCCTTTTGTTTTTATGTGAAAAATTGAATAAAATTTGTTTGAAAAAAAAAAAAAGAAATGAGTTACTGCAAATTAAAATTACAGAGAGAGCAAAGGAAGGAAAAAAATAGTCAAGTCATACCATTTCATCCCGGGCTTCTGTCTCTTTCCTTAAAGGTGGTTCAAACTGCAACTTGTCAACTACAAAACATGTATATTTGCAATTTTAAACATAACATTCTCCTGCCGTAGTTTTAAAAAGTTCAAACGCTTGTGTGCACACATACATACCCAAACAGAGTTATAAAAGAATCCAACCTATCAAAAGCTCAAGTATATCAATATTGTTAATTGAAACTCTCTCCTTTAAAATAATAATTAAAATACGAGGTACCTTATATGATAATGCTAAGGAAATTAGAACATATTGTTCCACATTAAAATATAAATCATTTTATATTAATTGCTTTGTTGGCTTCCCCCAGGATATTTTTTCCTTCTTCTTCTTCTTAATATGGAACAGAATAATAAATCAGTTTGGTGAGTTCCAGCCCTCCCTTAGGTATGAAGCTAAACAGATGATTTGAGGCTGGTCAGACTCTTTCAACCATAGAAAGAAGCAGTGGCAAAACTCTACTGGAAATATTGCCAAAAAATGGCATTGAATTATCCAGGCAGCACCAAACATCAAGACTTAAAAGTGCATCTCTGTGCATACACCTTATGCACTCATAAAGAATACTTACATGTGGATGGTTAAATGATTGTGGATTTTAATAACAGGGTTTTTTTTTCTTTTTTGCAAATGTCAAAATACCAATTTTCTGGGCTAAAAGTATATTTGGTCAAAACACAGAGCAAGGGGTTGTTCCTGTTGCATGAAGCCTGCTTCTTCTACTTTCTGCTATGACAAACTAAGCATAAATGGATTCACTGTGAACACATGTGGTTCAGCCTATTTTTCCAAGATTTTGCTCAACAGAAAGCCAGGATGATTAAGGAAGTTCAGCACCAGTTGGGGGACAGAATCTTTTCCCCTTTTTTTTTCTTGGAGGTCCTGGACAACAGCCCAAGGAAATACCCTCAATTCAGTGTATAAGTTCAGGATATTTTATCCCATTCCTCAGAACACCCTTCTCCAAGGATACTGAGAGTTGTAGACGATCCAATCTAGTGGGAAAGACTACTTGAAAGATAAACATTTCTATCTGATTTGGTACATGACAGGGTGAAGATTTTAAAACATATTAGAAACTCACAATTTATTTCAGATGCTGTCCTTTCGGCTCTGACATTTCTGTTGGTAGAGCGAATCGTGTGGCGAATAATAGGGTGTGGCTAGAGGATTCAGAAAAGCAGACATTCAGAGAGCCTCTTGAACTTAAAGAGAATTTCCTGCACAACTACAACACTCACATGTTTTTGCAGCTGGGATTTTTTTTTTCTACCTGTTGTTTGTACCAAGTTTCCAAGAGTTCATTCAAGTTCCTGACCTTATGAAGCTTTACATAATAATTTTATTTTTTTAAATTAAAAAACCCCATAAATAAATATTTTTAAAATAAAAACTTTAAAGAAGATTTCCGATTTAAGACATTTCACTGTCTGTAATAGTTTGATGCTAATTTATATAATGGATGTAAAGCAACATTTACATTTTTAAAGAAACTACAGAAGTTAGCTGACTGACTAGGGATTTAAAACAGGACAAGGGACAGGACAAAAATAAGACTTTTTTAAAAAGTCAAATAAGCATTAGAACTGGATAATTTCATATTAGAGATTTTCAATAAATCCCTAATTTATATTAATTATTAATATTACATGGTAAAACATTCAAGAATCTATCATTTATGCACTCTTCTGAGCAACTACAGGAAGCCTTTGGCTTACTCCCATTTGTTCAGTGACCATTTGAAATTAAAACAGGGCTGAAGTGACTCCAACTTGTGCCTGAGGTTACAGCTATTGCAGCAACCCTGTGAGCACATGATGACCACTTCACTCAAGATTCGAGTTCCAATTGTGGTTGTAAGTTGAAGACTACTTATAAACAGTAACTTTCTGTGCCAGTTCAAGTCTTCAAATCATCTTCAGGGACAGACCCACAAAGAGCATGTTCTAATAGCCATGAGAGCATTTCTTGTCTGGGTGTACTCATCAATCCCTGAGAATGAAACTGCCTAGCTCAGGGGTCCTCAACCTGTGGGCTGTGAGCCACTACTGGGCCGTGCCGCTTGAGTGGCTGGCCAATCTGAGTGCATGTGCATGTGCGCACCCCTCCACTCACGCTAGCATCATTGCAAGTGTCACATGGATGCTAGTGTTGCCATGAGTGTCACACGGGCAGTCACAGCCCAGTTTGCATTGCGTACCCAGCTCCATGCGTGTGCATGCACACTTAAAGGTACCTGCCCCTCCCCCCTGGGCCACCAACACAGAAAGGTTGGGGAACTCTGGCCTAACTGACACACAGCTTTACTATTTCATCCAAAATAAGATAAGGAAATTGCTAGGAAGAAGACCTCACCTCAAAATCATCATCATCTGTCTCGGTATAGTGGGGGTGGTTATCAGGATTGTTCACTTTGTCCAAGAGCTCAACAGCCAGAGAACGAGAAAGTCCAGGCTGCCCAACAAAGCTATGCTAAAAAAAATATTAGTGTAAGAGGCCAGATCTAAAATATTTACAATGCAAGTTAAAGCATGGATTTTTACACACACACACACACACACTTTTTTCAAAAGGCAACTTGACTTGAAGACATTTCGCTTCTCAACGAAAAAGCTTCTTCATTTCTGACTGAATGATAGAGGATGGGAGGATTTATATTCCTTGCAGTCATCAGGTTGTTTGCACGCTTTCTGAAAGTTGTTGAGGTCACTTGGAAGTTTATCTGTGTCCTCAAGGTCACCTGAATAGTGCAAACAGGTGGAACCTTTTTGGAACTGCTGAAAGGATTGTGTTGTAAACAGGAGATAGATGATGTCATATCTCTCCCCCTTTGTTGAGAGAGGGCTGTTAAATCTTAATGTAGATGGTCTTTTTGACCCCTGTTCCAAACCAGTGGTCCTCTCTGCCCAAAAGGTGGACTTTGCTGTCTTCAAAAAAGTGACCTTTGTATAATTCTAATTAACATAATATCCCCTTTTATGTAAGAAGTTTGCTTCTTTCTGTGATTCCAGGCAATTTTCTTTGTTACCAAAAAAAAAAAATCTAATTTCATCAATATTGCATGTTAAAAGCCCATTTTAGATAGCAGGCTCGACATATAACCCAGTCTTAACTCAAAAGTATTTGTTATAAAAACAAGAGACTTCTGCATGCCTGACATTTTTTAATAGTTACATTTTACAGCCTTTTCAAAAACAGAGGGCCTCTTGATCTTCTGAAAGCTTGAATGTTTATTCCATTAGTCGTGATGTGACTTTCATGTAGGCCCCATCCCCCAAAGAAAAAGAAATATACTTACTGTCAGAAGTCTGTCAGCAGTTGGCCTCTTCTTTGGATTTTTTGTAAGTGCTACTTTGACAAAATTATGGAATGTTGATGACCTGTAAAGCAAACGAAAGCTGTAATTTTTATAAAATTGGTAGTTAACACAGATCTAATGGATTTTTCTTGGTATTTTAACCTATCTCAATTTTCTGCTAGCCCACTCACAAAAAAGGCACACCACTCAAAACTTACCATTTTGTTTTTTCTTTTAGCTTTGGAGGTTGAAAGTTACTTTTGGACATTAGAAAGAGAGCCCTGAAAACGAGAAGTAGGCAAGTTTAGAAAATACATTTTTTCTGGCATGGTAATCCTCTTCCCTTTCTTTTAACTCTTGCACAGGTACAATGGAGAGGGCCCTGTCTTAACAGCAGACCTCATGGGGTGAAGATCAAACATGGGTGGTTGCAACTCTCCAAGCTCAATTGCTGTTATGCCCACAGCCCAGATGTCACAGAGTTGGTTGTAGCCGCCATTCTTTTCTACAGCTGCCACTTCTGGAGCCATCCTTAAGAAGATAAACAATACTATCAATTAGACCACAAGAACAGGTCAATCCTTGTCTAACACCCTAGATTCACTGGGCAGCACATTATGAGTATATGCAATCTGATACATATAAACCAGCCTACATTTTTTTTACCACCCATCAAAGCCAAATGAACCTGCCCTGCATCTTGGTTTGCCATTGTTAGGTCCCTAGTTTTGTAAATCCAGCCAGCTAAAAGCAGGTTTCTCAAGTTCCGAGTGAGCTGCTGTGAGGTATCTTTTTACTTCATGGGTCACAAGCTGTTCAGGCCTGAACTTAATGCTATTTATATGATTTAACACTCATAGAACTTGCGGAATGTACGGAAAGTTTTGACAGACATTAATCTGGAGACAATCTCAAGTTTCAAGAAATGACAATCTGGCCCATTCAAAGGCACACAAGATCAGCTTTTCCATAAATAAAAACTTTTTGCAAGCAAATTCAAACCTACTTCTGTTATCATGAAGACTACGAGATTTATTTATCAGGTTTATATACTGTATGTATACTTGTTTAAGTAAGATAGAATCCTCACATTTAGAGCAACTGAATTTCATAAAACAGTATTACAACTGGGTCGTTAGATTTACTATAAACTTATACATCAATGTTTGTATCTCAAAATTCATTTTTAGCTGTTTCTTCATATTCATAGATATCCGTTACAACAAAACATATTTCCTGGATCGTGGAAATTATTGCACTTGAAGGCAATGTGTTCCTGTTTCCATGTCACTCTTCTTGCTTGACCAGAAACTTTTGGTGGACCCAAAGCTATGCTTAGCAGAAGATATTTTACATAGAGACTGTCTATCCAACAATGAAGTAGAAGGATATAATAGTCTACAAACTGCTATTTTCAACATAGTGTAACCTTAGCTGAACAATTCTATTTCAGATTCTTTATAGCACAGTCAGGAAACCCTGGTTCAAGGTCAGTGGCCCTAGTTTAAATAATCCCAAAGAATTTATTACCAGTAAGGGGTGCCAATAAATGACTTCCTCTTTGCAATAGTGGCTGTTATTTTTGCTGCCACGCCAAAGTCAGCTGCAGAAGGAAAACATTGAAGACATTTTTAGAAGTTGCCCTCCTTTTCATGCATATATCCAAGAAAATATTTAGATCTTTGTTCTCATCAGAGGTATATGAATGCCAGGTGCTTCAGGTAAGTAGATAATATTTAAGAGTTCATCTAGAACTTGTGTCAAGAATAAGAAGTTTACTTCCTGATTCTGCTATACAAATCAATCTTAGTAAGTAAATGAATGGAACTAGAGTTACAGTCATTTAGTATAAGACATAGCAAAATCAAAGCAAGTTCTGCTACCACAGTGCAGTGCCTTCTGGTTAGTTTGGCCTAGAACCCATATAAGCACCTGCCACATTTTGCCACAACTTGGTGCATTGCCTAGTAAACAAGTATTAAGCATATTTGTGAGCTCAAAGAAAAATAACACTCAGTCTCAATGCCTTACCATTCTTAAGCCTTAGATATATATGGAATATAGCTAAATTTCTCTCATCTGGCTTCCAGAACAGCATAATATCTCATATTCAGTTTTCCATTATCACTACAAACATTTTGGAGCTTGAATTCAGACTGTTGTGAGATCTTAAAGCCTTGGCATTGGAAAAAGATTATCTGGCTACTGAGAATCAATACCCACTTAATGGCACATAATCATCCATCAAAGCCTTCCCACCACACTATTTGGCTGGCAATTGCCCCAATTATAAACCAGTGTGGCAGATCTTGACTTAAATTTATCCTCCATCAGATGGGTAACATTACCTGGTTATTTTGTTCTGTCTTGTAAAATGGAAAGAAGAACATATATGATAAATTGTAGATCTGAACCAATGTTCTAGGATTTCCCTTTATGGCCAGCATTCATTACCAAGATTCATGGCATTTATGAAGTAATAAAAAAGAGTGATTCTGAATATATTCAAATATATACATTTTCTTTTACTACTAAATAACAAAAACCTACTCCTGTGCATCTGTGACCAAGAGATATAAACTTAGGCAGTTCAGCTAATACATGAAATGGAGATCTGCCATCTGCTTTTAAGGAAATAAACATTCTTATGATTAAGGAACTATAATGAAACAATAATTTCCCAAAAGTCAGCCCCAATACAATTCTACAGACTTACAAATAGAAATCAGATTTTCTTTAAAACTTTATAACCCCCGTTATCTCATATATGAGTTCTAAAATGCATCCTTCATTAAGATAAAGAAGAAAATTACTGAACCAATGATTAAAACCAGTCAGAGTTTTTACTGTGCTCTATATTTGGCTAGATTTAACCATTGTTGCTTTTTAAGAGGTTTTTATCTTCCTGCTATTGTATTTGAAGTTGTATTTATTATGCCTTGAAGACTTCAATTTGTTATATTTCATTGTTTTTATTGCAATGGTCTACTTGTTTACCAATATTGTTTTTAAGGATTGTATATTTTATATTTTTAAACTGTAAGCCATTTTTGTTGATTAAACATTATTTTTTCTCTAGATGATCATTATAATATTTCAAGAGAAACTCTAGAAACATAAGATTTTCCTGTTTGCAAGACAGTTGTATACTCTATCATAAAAGGGTCAGATTGTTCAGCAGCCTTGTTGCTCTTCCTTATCTTGTGTAAGACAGACTTACACAATTCACCTTCCTCCTTTTCTCTAATTAACTAAGTTCTTTAAACAAATGAAATCTTTAATAGGATTGTGGGACTGCCATTTTAAGGCTAGAGAAGGGTTGTTTTGAAGATGTCATAGGCAGTAGCCAAATTGGTGTTCTCCAAACACTTGAATTATATCTCTTATAATCTGATATGGCCAATGGTCAAGAGTTTTAAGAGACATAGTAAAAAATATAGAGTTGCAATGCAACTCTATATGTAGTATACGATAAAAGATTATGGAAGCCATTATGAAATTATATTATTTCATGAACTATGAAATAATTATTATATTATGGAAAGCTATATGAGAGCCACTTTGGTGTAGTGGTTAAGAATTGGGAAACTGGGAGTTCTAGTTCCACCTTAGGCACAAAACCAGTGAACTGACCTTGGGTCAGTCTCCTCCTTCCAACCCTAGAAAGGAGGCAATGGGAAACCACTTTTGAAAAACCTTGTCAAGAAAACTATAGGAACGTGTCCAGGTAATCGCTAACAATCAGACATGATTGAATGGAAGGAAAAAAAATAATGACAAGCTAAGTCACCCACCTAGCTTGATGTCTCCATGGTCAGTCAATAGAATATTTGCACCCTAAAATACACAAGATTTTCAAAAAGTATAGGTTATTCACTATCCTGAAGAAACTAGTTTAGAGTAAATATAGAGAAATGGTAGCTATCTAGGTGTTGATAAACTACAACTCCTCCATCAATCTATAGGACCAATAGTAAAGCATACGGGGCATGTTCTCCAAGATTTGAATCACAGATCTCTTACTACTGGGCCACAAGCTAAATATTTTTCTTAGAGTCACATACCTTAATGTCCCGATGCATCTTGCCTTTCATGTGCAAATAAGCAAGTCCCTGAAAAAGAAATCATAAAAAGAAACAGTTAATCTAAGGATATAATTTCTATTAGAATTAAACAATATCTAAACTATCTGTACAATAAGGCAGGGTAATGATTTAAATATGTCTATTGTCAAATCTCCTAGCAACTTAGAATAAAATCTAAAGTATGAATTTTAAGTATCTAACAACTTTAGGGATAAATTGTAATTTCATGCCTTCAGATAATGGTGCTATTATAATTGTTACCATCCCCAATAATATGGTCATTGTCCCTACTGGTTGGGTGTGCTGAAACTATTTTTCAACATATGTAGAAGGCAGCAGGCTTACAGAATGCAGAATTACAGAGTTGGGTGGACTTTGGAGGTCATCTAGTCCAATCCCCTGCTCAAGTAGAAGTCCCTATACCATTCCAGACAAATGGCTGTCCGAACTCTTTCTAAAATTTCCAGTGATGGAGCACCCATAACTTCTGAAGACAAGTCGTTCCATGGATTAATTGGTTTGACAAAGGGAAAAAACAAACTAAATAACCGTAAAGATTACTGGCAAAGGCTACTCAAGAAACTCAAGGAAAAGGCTTACTCTTAAATTGGTATTAATAAAATATGCAATGCTTTTGATAACAAAGAAAGGAATTTGATGTTGAGAACAACTGCAATAATAAGACTGGCCCCAAAATAAAAATAATTGAAATGTATTTGCTTAGAAAATGGCTGTAGAAAAATGTGGCACAGTATGATTATTTGGACATTAGCCATTACACATTCTTGGGCAGGAAGAAATTGTTCAATCCAAGTGTTTATGAGTAAGTGGTTGCTATCCATTAATTACTACCATAAGAAATGTCTATATGGTAACATAAAAACTCCAGCTGCATATTTGTTGCAGATAACTTGTTACAATAAGTTCTGAATATTGTTACACTAAGTGCCAAAACTTCGTGTCAAATGTAGTCCTAACACAATTGAGGTACAGGCAGTCATTGTCTAACCATTACAGTTGGGATTGGAAACTCAGTTGTTGAGTGAAACGGTCGCTAAGCAAGACATCATGTGACTGTTTCATTCAACAACCACAATCTCAGCATTCCCAGTTGTGGTTTTTAAGCAATCTTGCAGATTGTTAAATGGACAGAATCCCAGGTTAGAACTGTTAACGTGCTCGTGGGGCTGGGGAAAACCCCGTGAGGCCTGGCATAGGCCCTATGTGTTTCTCCACCGAGGGCCTAAACATGATCCCTGACAAAATCCAAGTAGGATTTTCAGCCCCTGACAGGGAGACGCTTCTGCCCGGCCTGCACTGAGCTTCCCAAGGGCTTCCCTTTCCCAAAGGTACCTCCTAGTTCTTAATGTACCTCTAACTGTCCTGCCTCTCTGCCTCTCTATGGTAACATGATTTCAACCATAACATTTTCTCATTCTTTTCAGAGGAACATATTTTGAACTGGAATTTCTAGAAACTGAAACTACACTATCCAGAAACACGGAAATATTAAGTGTTATCCTCGTTCTTACAACTTTATCCATGTTGTTGTTCCCTCATTTCACTGTTTCACATGAAAATTAAGAGGCAGTAGCGGTTACGGAATTGATTTAAGATATCACTTTAGAAGCTACTATTTGCTTTGAGATGCATAGAGATACTTTAATTGAAATATGCAAAATACCTGTTTTGCTTTCAATAAACACAGAGCAATAGCTGACTGGAGTATGAACTGTACTCCCCCACCCCAGTTTAAATCACAGCTCAGTCCGAAGAAGTGACTTGGTGACCTGAGGCAATTCATTACCTGCAATGTCTCTCTGCAAACATACGCAATCTGTAACTCTGACAGAGGGCCCGTTACTGAAAGGAAAAGCAAATTTACAAATGCTGAAATATACAGCAGCAAATTCTTGATTAAATTAAGTCTAACTAAAGCATCAAAAAAGCCAAAGAACCAACCCCATATTGCTGAAATGGATGTGATGCACCAAGAAATAAAAAATACAAAAGATTAGGCCACAAATTCATCCAAGCACGGCACTCAAATTTTCACAGTGGCATGCCACATGAATTTGGATGCATATACAGCTGTGATAACATCCCCTTTGCTTATTTCTTGTATCCAACAAATTTAAATGGACTGCTTTCATGATGAAGAACTGGCTGGGGACTTCTGGAAATTGAAGTGCCCCGTGTCTTAAATTTGCCAAGGTTGAGAAACACTGGTTTAGCAAACCTCTTCTCACCAGAGGAGCTTGATAATAGGCAACCACTTTCATGCTCAATAGGAAACAACATTGTTATATTTTTTTACAGTAAAATTATCATGAATACAAAATGGAGGAAAATAGGGAAGAAGAGGGATGCAATAAAAGTTAACACAATAAATAAAATCCTCGGATACCATGGTAAATGTCTTGAAGGGACCCTCCTCCACAGTATTCCATACAAATCCATAGCTTCTCATGGCTAAAAAATAAAGCAAAAATGATCAGAATCAATATCCTAAAACAATCCAAACTGAACAACATGCAGCTATGCAGCTACCATTCAATTTATTCTTCAGACTGTGGGCCACAAGAATTTCCATTTACAAAACAACAGCAATTGAGCAGCTTTTAAATGTGATATGCTGTTATTTCTCACCTACCCTTAAAGCTAAGGGCAGACGGGCTTTTCAATTATCAGATGCCCTATAAATGTGTGCGTGAAATGAGATCAACTCTAGTGAAGGATGAATTTTAATGAAATGCCGCATTCCAGTGAACTGGAAAACAGATCACTTTTAAGTTCAGTGGAAAAGTTCAGTGTTATGTCATCCTAGACAAAGAAAAGCTTCCACACCTAGCAATAAAGCTTTAGTAAACTGCATTTTGCAATAGAGAGCTAACTCTCAATACTATACAGTTTCCAGGTATATTTGCAGATGAATTTGGCTACCTCCAGGAAGTTGTCATGGAAAATAATTTAGGTCAAGATAAAACGCAAGGGGTCTTACCTGAGATAGCTTCCGAAGTATGCTACTATATTACAGTGCTTGCATTCTTTAACCATATAGATTTCTTGCTGTATTAATGAGAAATCATCTCCTGAAAAAAAAAAGATTGTGCAAATTATTATGATGGGTTTTGTAATTTGCAAAGGGATCTTAGTTCATTACTTTGATATGGTGATGAATTGAATCTGCATCAACTGCATATAACAATAGTTTGGGAGCAGGTAAAAGGTAAAGCAAAGGTTTCACCTGTCCAGTCATTTCACCATTTGAGTGAAGGCTCATCTCGATTTCTTAGCCAAGGGAGCCAGCATTGTCCAACATCATTTCTTTGGTCGTGTGGCCAGCATGACTAAATGCCAACCCACATGGAACGCTATTGCCTTCCACCAAAGTAGTACCTATTTATATACTCTCAGTTGTATGCTTTTAAACTGCTAAGAGAGCAGGAGTTTTGGGGTTAGGGGATACACCAATACATTATTTGTTTTTAGTTGTGGGTATAATTTGTAGTGGCAACTATCCTGGAAGATAAATTCCTTTTTCTCAATTGTGAAAAATCCAAACCTCAAAACACTGTACATCTAATTGTCTTAAAACTGGCAGAATTTGCTAGTGATATCTCTACTATGTTTGCAAATTCCATTCAATCCTGCTTCCTCCGCCCCCACCCTGTTCCCCAATCCCATTTCAGACAGTTGAGGAAACATTCAAGAGTTAGGAAAAGGAAACAGGGGCTTTGAATCTGAAGAGAAACTTCAATCAGTCTCAAGATAAACATTTCGAGACAAATATTTTTTTCTGACCACAACACTATGCAAAGTCTCTGTTACTGTACAGTACAGTAAAACTGGTAAATGGTTTCAATATCAAATTAAATATGAGAGTAAATAAAAGATGTTGCTGTCAAGTTCCAGGATAGGCCTAAAAAGATGAAAAAAATACTCAATTTGTAAACACTAAAAATGGATGAAGTATCACAGTTTAATTAAGTTGATTAAAAATAGAAGAAAAATTTTACAGTACATCAAATCACCATGTTCCACAAATTGAAGAATTTTTCCACAACTAACAACCAATGATTTACTTTATCTGAGTTTTTAATCTATAACTGACAAATCTTTTGAATTGGGTGGCCTATGAATGTGTACAATCACTCACTCACTCAATCAATATCAATCTGCAGTATGTTACCTGACTATTTGTCACCGTAATGCCACATTATAGTACTTACGCAAGGGTTAATCCACATTTTAACATGTACATTTAGTAATGAAATTGAATGATAGCTTATACATTACAAAGGTTCCTTATCATGTTTCATTATCTCCATTATATAAGCCTCATAAAAGAGAAAGGGAAAACTTTATTTGAAACAAAAGTTATAGTAAATCCCTCCAAAGATGTATATGCAAGTAGCTGTTTTGCCCATTTTCATAAATTTAATAGTCTCAGCAATTTATTGGAATAATAGTGTCATGAATTCAACCATCTGACAAGAAATACTGTATTCAAAAACATATTTTTTCATTAGAATAAATCATTAGAAGCTGTCAAATCAAACTAATATTACTAATTATAAAAAGAAAGTTTTATCAAATTACACTCATTATACAAATTACCATGGTGGTCCTGAACTGTACAAGCAACACTATGTTGTCACTCTAAAACCAATAGTTTCCCCATTTTTCTGCCCCTTTACTTCTTCATTGCAACGTAATGAGATTACATAAAATGTACTCATGAATGACTAAGTTCCAGCCTAGCAGAAACAAAATTCAATAAAAGACTAGATCAGTACCCTTGATTGTTTACAGATCACTTATCAGTGTACAAATTAAGTTAGAATATTTACAACTGCAAGAACGTTTCTAGCAATTCTATGAAGCCAGAGCATTTACAAGCTCCAGAAAGGATTTCTATCCATCTGGCAGTACAGCTCAGTCTGATGAGTTTCAGTAGCATGTTGAAGGTGTGTAGAGGCAAGTATACACACTTCTGGGACCATGTGTCTCCTGGGGAGGAGGAATAACAATAGCACTTAGACTTATATACCACTTTATGGTGCTTTACAGCCCTCTCTAAGCGGTTTACAGAGTCAGCATATTGCCCCCAACAATTTAGGTCCTCATTTTACCCAACTCGGAAGGATGGAAGGCTGAGTCAACCTTGAGCCTGGTGGGATTTGATCTGCCAAATTGCAGTAGGAGTAGCTTGCAGTACTGCACTCTAACCACTGTGCCACAGAATATTAGGAATAATATTAATAATATTAGGAATAATAGGAATGCTGCTATCCTGTCCCAGCAAGAGAAATATGTCAGTTGGTGAGAAACACCATACATCACATACATAAGTAAGGTATTAGAAGAACTAGGACCTATAAGCAAACAGAGATTGAAGCAGAGGGACACCCCAGAACAATGACACTCGTCCACAGTTATTGGGGGAAAACTGAGGAGTTCAAAATGGTCCCAGTGCAGGCATGTGAAAAGGAAACTGGCTCACGTAAAAAGAGGGAGGAAAAACAGCATAGAACAAGAACCTGAAAAAGCAACACATGTAAGATCCTTAACCAAAAATTCCCAAAGCACATTGCCTAATCAATTTGAATTGTACTTCATTTATATTTTTACATCAAAACATAATGCACTCAGTGCATCATTTTACTGCTTTTTCAATCTTCATCACGACTGCTTTTTCTCTAGCCGAGCAAAAAGCGCCAGCAACCCCTGCATGCCACAGTAACTGGAAAAATGCACACAAGCCCCAAAGGACTGGAAGCATCTTATGAAACTTGCTGGTTGCAATCACGCTGCTCTTTTATGATAAAATAGCCTGGATATGCAGAACCATTCCAATTTTCAAACTGGTTGCATCCAGTGAACTTCCTTAGGGAAAGGACTGGTGGTGTGGAAAGATATCTTTGATGATTTGCCATGCTGTGAAAGAGATCACTCCTAGCTTCCTTAGATTTGGTGAATTCCTCTGGCGTTCAAAGACTCGAGAAAAGGCTTTTCACTCTCTCACTCTTACCCAGAGTTCTGAATACGGCTCAAGTGCTGTCCCACAAGATAAGCTCTTGTGGCACAGCAGCAGAGTATATGCCTCGGACAAAGAAAGCCCTAGGTTCAAATCTCAACTGAAAGGAATGGCACCGTAACAAACGTGTTAGTGAATAACGAGTCATTAGTACAGTTGGATTTGAAAGGGAATTAGAAAATTAACAGAAAATGCAATTGTCAATGGCTAATCATGACGTCTTGTGTTTTTTGGCATTTTTTAAAAGCAAAATTTAAGAGAGGGCGTTTATTGTGCTGCTTGCTGGTCCCTCCTCTGACTAGCTACTGAAGAAGCAGGAGGCTGTACCAAATACGCCCTTGGTCTAACTTAGTGTTAGTTCCTCTCATATTCTTAGGATGAGGTAATGGGACAATAAGTCTTTTGCCTAAGTTTGTGGCAGGCTGGTTTAAGGATGTATCAAAAGATTATATAGTTTACGCCAACGTCTTCTTTTAAGGCTTTTCAAAGCAAGCTGAATTTGAACAGTAGCCGTAGGCAATTTTTTTCCAAGATAATCTTTACAAAAAGAGGAAGTTTAGTTGGAGGGAAAGGCTTTGTCCATATGAAATCTTACAAAGAATGCTGAAGTTTCACAACATTTTTGGATTCTCACTCAAGATCTGAGTATCCCCTTCATTTTGCTTATTGGTTGTCCTGACATGAGCTGGACTACATACATATCATACCCATTTAGATTAGGGAGGGTCATTGCATAGAGTGGTGCGCCAAACAAATTGTACTGTGTTGCAAGACACAGCTTCCCACCATTCCTGGTTGCCTTAATTAAAAAAAGAAGTAGATCCCTCTATCCAGCTGGCTTGCTGCCCCCATTAAGCTAGCAGTCATGGGAAGCTGTCCCGACTTCTGTTTTTCACCCATTATAAATGCCTTCTCTAGCTAAATAGTTGGACAGATCAAGAACTCCAGAGAGCAAGTATTCAAAACAGCTTCTAAGCCTATGCTAAGTGAGAACAGGGAATTATGATTGTCTATCAATGCGTCTATCACTCCACAACAATACACAGTGGGTGTAGCAATGGTGGATCTCCCAGCAACTGTACACCATATAACCACAAGTTCATCAGTGGTCATGATAGGGTCTTGCCCATGGCCATCAAAACAGTGTCCGTGCCAGGAAGGAATAAATAACAAATTCCAATGAGCATACACATCACTTTTTTGTGCGTGTACAAAGATAGCATTCAAAGGCCTAGAGCTCTCAAATGCAAAATAGACAGCTGACCCTTGAAAATTGGAATTATTTGCTACTTCAGAGTTTCCCAATTTATACTACTCTTTTTCCCCTGTTAAACAAAGCAAAGAGTACAGGAATAGGCAAAGATCCTTAATTTTACATATACACTGATAGGGTCCGAGACATCTGTAATTAACCAGAGAAAAGATCTTGGAGTCAATGTAGACCAGTGTTTTTCAAACTTGGCAACTTTAAGATATGTGGTCTTCAACTTTCATGCCGACTGGGGAATTCTGGGGGATGGAAGTCCACATATTGCAAATTTGCCAAATTTAAAAAACGACATAGACTCAAAGTGCAGTAGATGGGAGAAAAGCAAATTCTGTGCCACATCAATTACAAAAAGGAATTAAATATGAAACTGCCAACACTGCCATCCTTATACATATTTGTATGTCTGCATGTAGAATACGATATAAAGTTGTAATCTAACTGAAAAATGATATAATACCACAGAAAGAGCAAACAGGAGAGAGCAACTGAAATAATCAGGGAGCTTGGTCACTCTCCCCCACTAGAAAAGACTAGAATGTGTCAGTCTCATATAAAGAAAATATTTATAAAATGTTCTATCGCTGGCACCTCCCACCAGCAAGACTTGCTTGGTAGGATGTTCCCTAATATGTCACCCAAATGTTGGAAGTGTAACTTTAGCCAGGGAACGTATTTTCACATGTGGTGGACATGTCCTAAAGCCCAAAAATACTAGTCTAAGATACAGACGTGTTTAGAAGAGATGACAAAACTAAAGATTAAATTCAACCCAGAGACCTTTC